CAACAGTGACTACTTGCTCCATGGCTTTCGGCAGCTTTTGATCTGTCACCATGGCTCCTAACTGTGCCGATCTTGCACCACGGCTCCAAATCGTGCCAACCAAACCTATGACACTCTAAACTTCAAAGCATCCAATGACGGAGCAGAAGACAAGCCTTTATTAGCAGCCCTTGCTAGCGAAAGACTTAGCAGTGAAGAAGCTTGCAATCCATTCAAATTCTCAGTTGATCACCAACCAAGCCTCAAAAGGGCACACGACGAAACATCTAACGATGGCACAATACTTGAAGAAAGTCTGGGAGCAGCTCACTGCGCTTCCCACATACACTTTTATGCGAGCTCCACAAGCAGTTCGAAGTCTAAAGCAGATCGCCGAACAAGACGTCACAGGCTGAGGATTATTTCAGTTTTCTAGTAGTCTAGTTTTCTTCAGTTACACTCACAACAACAACTTCCATGCTCTTCAATGCGAGAGGGTAAATTAATTCCCTAACACACATCTGGGTAAGCTCTCTAGTGCGAGAGGGTAAACTAATTCCCGGACATCCATATAGGTTTGCTTTTCAATGCGAGAGGATAAACTAATTGCTCTCTAGTGCGAGAGGGTAAACTAATTCCTTGACACCCATCTAGATCTGCTTTCCAGTGTGAGAAGATAAACTAATTGCTCTCCAGTGCGAGAGGGTAAACTAATTCCCCGACACCCATCTGAGTCTGCTCTCCAGTACGAGATGGTAAACTAATTGCTTTAGAGTGCGAGAGGGTAAACTAATTCCTCGACACCCATCTGGATATGCTCTCCAGTGCAAGAGGATAAACTAATTGCTTTTAAGTGCGAGAAGGCCACACACCTCAAAATATCGAATACTCAGCTAAGTAGCAAATGGTCAGTAGGTAATAGCCACTTTGCACTTAATAGTTCGCTCATTCAACACTTCACCTTTGGCAACTTCGTCCTTGATTGCTTTATATATAGTAGCTGAGAAATCAAACTCAAGCAGTTTCCTAATTCTTGGCAAGCAGCCTAGGTGTGGCAGCCAAAACCATGGCATATGCTATGCCACTTCCTCGGCCCATGTTGAGCCAGCCCTTGGCTTCAGTCAAGCCGAGTAGCACAAGCTGTGACCCTTACCACACCACCTCCTAGGCCCATGCCAAGCCGACTCTGGACCTCTACCAGCCAATGTGCCGCACCACTCCAACGGCTACCCCGTGGTAGCACCACCCAAGAAGAAGACAAAGAAAATTAAGTTTTTCTTACATTGGTGAGGTGCAGAGAAGACAAAGAAATCAATGGAAGACGGTTCTTTGCACGGGCAAGCAAATAAAAGTGCTAGGGGAGTGTGAACAAATATCCTCTAGCTTTCTTTCTTTCTTGTAGGGATAAATAATTGCCCTCTGAAGTTGATTTAATCCCCTACATAAGGTAGGCTTGAATAGGCTTTGGAGGCAATTTATTTCCCTTCCCTAGAAAAATCTAATTTCAAGTCCAAGTGGGAATCTGCATCAAAGTTGGAGATCTCTACACCTGCTGCCCTTTCCTATGAGCATCCCAACAGGTGTGGGGGCATTTGTGGAGCAAAAAATAATCAAGAAAATTATGGAGGCGACACATGTACTTTTGGGTGAAAAGGACAAAATTACCCTCGAAGCACACGAGTATTCCCACGTGCATGCAACGAACAATAATGGCTCAATCAAGGAAGAGTCAAAGGTGATCAAAATGGTATTTATTCAAAACCCTCTTATCACTCCTCATCAAATCTTCACTCAAAAGGTAACTTCCAATTTTCCGATTCAATTTGGAATTAATTGCTAAGTTAACTGCAAGATATTATTTCACATAATATCTTGCAATTACACTCACAATTTGACCATATGTTGCCAGCCCCTATTCTCCAAATAGGGCAGGTCACTCCCCTATAAAGTGTTTTCCCACTAAATTGCCAGGCCATTCGCTCCCCAAAAACTCCTAAATACTTTCTCTCTCAAATTCTAACTTTGGCATCGGAAATTCTTCAGCCAAAGCCCCCCTCCAATTCATCGTGAACGCGTGAGGCTTTTGGTCTTAATCTTAGGTGTTATTATTTTGCAGGTGCATTTTCGTCAAAGGAGAAGAAGACGGAAATTTACATTCAATTGAATGGCATGGATTAGTCTTTCTATCAGACAAGATTAATCCTAGGTTGGGGTACATAATTTAGAGATTGAACTAATTACTGCTATCTTGTGCTGCATTTCTGTTTTGGTGTTTTGAGATGTAGATTTTGCACAGATAAACTAAGAAAGATGTATTCAATTGAATCAATGCATCTGGGTGAGGATGGGGTTTACATGAACTTTCTCTTGACTTTGGTCGATCAAGATTCTATTTATGCATAGTATACAAATAAATTGATTGGGAAAGTGTCTAATCTGGGAAATGACTTACTTACACGGTTACATTGGGTGCTATTGTTACGGTATTTCTGTTCCAAACTAATAATGCAACGTCAAAACACATAACACATGGCAGTGTGTTAATGCTTTAAAATACTGACACAATGACATCTTGAACGTAGGTAATAAGGTAAGTCTCTTCTTTATCGGGCAGGTTCATTTAGTACTCTTTACTTTAAGATTCCATATAGCATTGAATTTCTTGTCTGACTCCTTTATATAGCCATTATGGTAACGGTGGACCAGACACACAGCTAGATATATACATAACATAAAGGAGCTGTCAGTTTCTCTATATTTACTAGTCGAATAGTGTTAGAATTATAAAATTTTTGCAATCTGAATTACTAGGATCACTTTATGATACAAGCGATGGTGGAAGTAGAGAAATCGAACTGGAAACCTCGAGTCTAGGTGTGAATGTTGATGGCCTCAGATGGTTGATTGACCAAAACACAAAACCTGGTGAATATTCACTGACCTGACCTTCCAGCAGCCATTGAAGTCGATGTGAAGAATTCAAAGTCTGCGAGAAGCAACTTAGAACACCTATATGTTAACTAAATTGGAATGAAAGATTGAAATCTCAGAAAATGAAGATCGAAGAATCAAGAACACTCAGAAAATGTTGAACTTGGCAGCGGAAGAAGAAAAGTCTGATAGTATTGAATGAATAAGTTTTGGACAATTACTACAGTATATATCACTGAAGTAGTAACTAACTTGCTTATGTGGCAATCTTCTACGGCTCTCCTTATTACAACCTAACCCAACATGATCATCTCCGGATTATTTTGGTGAGGATTTTAGGGATCCGTAAATCGTGTATGTTCATCTTATATCGTATGGTCAGTTTTTATTAGGTACTATTTGTATTTAATTTTAAATAAAAATATTTAAAATAATTTATGACCGTACGATGTACGATGAATATATATGATTCACGGATCCTTGGGATCTTTACAAAGAGAATCCGGCAAGGATCCAGATTCCAACCTAACCACCTCATCTCTAAGATAACCAATCCATAAATGCCACTTGGATTATGTTACATTTCAGTTATTACTGTAGTCTTCTACAAAGCACCCACCCTTATCAACTCACTCAATGGGAAGTCTACATGTTATTAATCTGGGGTTTGCGGGGACTACTAGGATTATATATCTGTTAGGGTTTTGACTTCTGTCCATTAAAGAGAATCAAATCCCTCAATCATAGCCATACGATATGTTATCAGTTTTGGTGAATAATATCAAGACGTTAATGCATTTACTTGCCCTTTAAGGCACAACTGATTTCATGCGATCATGGTATTAGACCCTAATGACATTCCTATTGTTTTGTAAATTTGTAGGATCAATTTAAGGTTAATATATGTTTGAACTGAAATCCAACATTAATGTCAGAATTCAAATACAACAAATGCTTCTAACAAAGAATAATGCTAGAGAGACTAAATTTAGTTTCAAAACTTTGTCTACAAAATAAATGAGTAGCGAATTACGTACTTATAGTTAATGAACTAATACTATAAGCTACTTCCACATTATTAATTGTTACATAAAGAACTTAGAAGAAGAAGAAAAAAAGTTAGTTAGTTAGTGTCATATAACTGAAGTGGCATATTTTCCTTACGGACTAGGAACGTAGCCCTTTTAATTGTTATATTTAGACAATCTCCAACTTAAAATATAAGCTTTAAACCTCTCCCAAACCATCTCCAATCATTGGGCTAAAATAAACCCTAGGAAGAAAATATATTTCCGGGCTAGATTTCCGTCATGATTTAAGTCTGACTTAAATTATTTTGGATCCACCAAACTGCTAAATTTCAAACTTTTTTTTGTTTATTACTTATAGTCTAACAGCTGTGATCAAATGAGATCAAGTCTAATGGTAAAAAAAATATTTGACGGTCAAAAATTAAATCTAGTGTCTAAAATAATTTAAGGAAATTATTTAAATCAAATTTAACTTAAAACTTTATAAATACCTATGTATTTGTATGATTTTTAATTACCTATCGTAATTTAAATATTTTTAGATTAAAATGTTCATAAAAATAAATTAGGATAATCTACACAAATTTTATTTTCAAAAAAGTTACTGAAAAAAAAAGTTTAAAATCATTATTCAATAATTTCAGGCTAAAATTTTAAGTCATAAGGATTGGAGGAGAAAAGCAATTTCTGAGTTATAGCTTAAAATTTTCTGACTTAAATTTTGAAGCTGTATTCTCAAAGGGTTGGAAATGATCTTAGGATTTTGCGATGAAATTTAACTTAAGTTGTAACAGAAAAAATAAAAAAAAATAATTTAAGTTAAAAGAAGAATACTGAACTGGCATAGATGCCTAGAAGTAAGATACATAATTAATAATTAAAGAGATTTGACAAAAAAAAATAATTAAAGATAAATTTTTCAGTGTGATTGGGATACGATTGGTATACTATATGTCATTATATCAATGGTGGAATATGTGTGCTAAAAAGTTAATAAATTAAAAAACACAGTTTCCCACCACTTATATAAAAACACGTGATGTACCACCCATATTCCCGTCACAATAAAAAATTTCTCAAAATTAAACATTAACATTACATAATCCAACTGGGAAGCTGACTAAACACAGGGCCAATCAACCACCATTTAGAACACATATTAAAATAAATAACAACCTAGAAAGTTATTAAGACCAAGCAGATGACTTAACAACTAGAAGTAAAGGCTACTGAAACCAACACAGCACAGAAAATCCTTAAGGCACCAGGTTACTTTATTCTTACGTCACTACATATTCTTCCATATATAAGAAATTAAGCTGCTGGTCTTTCTTCACAAAGATCTGATCACTTCACACTGCAACAAGAAAACAGAAGTTCAGTTAATTACGATTTAAGAAAAGAAAAGTTAATTTAAGAACTGTTTGATAATTATAACGTTTTTTTTTTTTTTTTTTTTTGGCAATATTTTTCAGTCTTTATTTTTCAGAAAGGTGAAAACTAAAAACCAAGGAAAGCTAAGTACTTTTGTGAAAATTTTAAATTTCGTTTGATTTACTAAACACTGAAAACTAAATTTTTTGTTAAAATGAGTATAATTAATTTATAAGACCTTTTGCAGTCAGTAGAGGGGCTGATCTTGTACGGAATGTTGACACCACACTTGGCAGGAAGGCCAGCAGCAAGGCCAGCGTTGGTATTGGTGTAAGGGATGCCATTGATTGCTTGCTTCAAGCAGTTGCAGACACTTTGGCGGTCAGGGGTGGTCTGAGCCAGGGTGAAGAGGGTCCTGACCCCGTTGCAACAAGCAGGGGCCAATGCCCCGCCGGCCCTCACGTAGGAAATGCATGGAGTCAGGTCACTCACCACCTGACCGCATGTCATAGCTGCATCGGCCTTGGGGACACAAGCCACCATGCAGAACATCACCACCACCAAACATGCAAGCTTAAGGAGCTGTCCGGAGCTAGCCATAACAACGTCGTAAATAAAAGTACACTAATCTCTTGAAACTGTTGAGGAAGTGTTTGGATACACTGGTGAGTGCTAGAAGGGCTGAAGATGTGTTGTTAATATAGTATAAAATTGGTAGTTGGAAGTATTGAAAACTTCGGTGGAGTTTAGTTGAGTAGGTTAAATGCTAGAACTTGGATATCCAGAAGAAGATTATAGACGTCATGCGTCTATAAATTAAATTGCTCTCTGTGAGCACGTACGTACGTATGAAGTGACGAACCATAAGTCACTTCAATCGCTCAACCGACCAAACAAACTACATGATCCGTGGAGTTACCCTACTTCCAAAACGTTTTGCAGGGAAAAATGTCCAACAGTTTGTTTCATCCCTCTACAATCTAGGTCAAGACCGTTCACAATTCTCAAGTGGCTTTCCGGAGGAAGAGATTAGGGTTCTACTCCCATTAGCATAGAGGAATTAGTCCAACAATTTATCATATGTTTGTTTAAACATTCATGTTCCAATGCATATTGAAAATATTGACAACATATCCACATTGTAAAATGTGTTAACGAGTGTAACTTCACCGTTATATTCTAATGAAAAAGACATGTGAGCCAACAGGGAAGTTTTACGTTCTTAAACTTAGGATGCAGGAGGAATGGTCTGATCTGTCTTACAGTCTTCGTAATTTCACAGAAATGTCTTAATCTTTGTTCTTTGTCTTCTTCTTTTGTACGTGGTAGCTGAAATCCAAAGCTGTAAGTAACGAAACCTTATGGTCACCTAGCTAGCTAGTATAGGAGAAAAGCTCATTATCTTTTCTAGAACAGGATCTGTTGGTTTATGCCATACTATTTGCTAAGCATATGTATTGTATAATTCAATCTTTAATTTTCTGAAGAGATTTATGTACACTGTGATTTTATTTCGTCTTGATATTAAGTACCATATCGGGATGATAATAAAAGAATAACCAATTGTAAAATACACTACAAATTAGACGGCTACAAAGCAAAAATACTACACTTTGTCAAGAGCTAGTTTTTCTACTGAATTACAAAGTACTTATAAAAACTAATTTAGAACAAATATGAAATAATGAACCAACATAAAAGCAATCTTGAACCCTAGTAGAAAATTGGAATGAAATCATACTTATTGGAAAACCTTAATACGTAAAATACCAAAATATACCCTAACATAAAATAATAAAAAAACTAAATTTCTAACTCGCTAAATTTCTCATCAACCCCTCCCGTCAAACTTATAACAGTAACTTAGAAGAATTTGCTAAGAGCAAAATTAATGCTAATTGTTGATGCAAAATTCAATGCGAATACCAATAATGATTCCAGTCCCAATTCTAATGTTAATGCACGTTAGTATATATTCCAATGCCAATACTAGTCCGAACAGCCTGCCATTACAAACTTCCTATATCAATGCCAAAGCCATCTTTCAATGCTAATACCAAAAAACAAAGAGAAATGTTAATGGTACTTTCTTAAAGTGACTTTTCATGGACTTTTTGATACCTCACAGTTTAATATTAATTCCGTGACAACATTATAAAATATTGTACAAAAAAATGAGGTGACAAAGAATCCATATAGAGTCCCACTTTTGAAAGAGTCTCCTTAGCATTTCTCAAAAACAAAACCATTAACTGATAAGCAGCTAGTCCAAATTAAACGCTATCCTTAGTTACACAATCTATAAGAGTAGTTACACCAGTTGGTAGAAAGTAAAGCTGAAGGCAACAATGTTGCCCTATAGCCCAAAAAACACCTCAAGCAATCCATTAAACCAGGGCAAGTGGTGGGCCAACACTTGCCCGGCCAAAAGCCCGTGCTTCTCAAGCTCATGCATGTAACCAGCAAAAGGCTGACATCATCCACTATTTATTATTTTTTCTGTCAGGCACGTGTAACACACGTGCGGCAAAAGGCAATTGGCCAACAGAACTACAGCGGTGGGTCTGTTGCAGCAGAACACTCAGTGCTTTTGCAATGGCAAGGACACATGGTGCTTTTAAATTCGTTGGATTTCTAACGGGCAAATAATCAGGACAATTGGAAATCCGACGGTAAAAAAATTTGAAAATGTTACCGTTGCGCCACTATAGTATTTTGCCGGACTTGATTTTCTTTTGTTGAGTCACTAGTATTTGTAAAGACCTAGTTTTGAACAAACAAGAAATCAACCGTAATAACCGAGTGAGTGAGAGATTTTTTTTATTACAAAGACCAAATACAAAAGCCCTCATGTACATGTTCAAACCGTCTCATCAATGCCGGACCATATATCATCAGTACATTTTCACGATTGTTCGCCTATGGATTTACCGGGCCTACTTCTACAAGACTTTGCTGGGAGTAATTAGTCCGTCAATTGTCTAAGAAATTTTCATCCTCTACAAATTAAGGTCAAGACTACTCATGATCTCAAGTGGCTAATTCAAAAGGAGTGCAAGAAAATTTGGGAGTACAGGTCTTGAGTGGTCTTTGTCTTACAGTCTATTTATAGTTGTTTGTAAGTGGTGGATAGTCTTAGTGTTTATGATATTCATTTCAAATACACCGTGTTCTGAATTCAATTTAATTATTTTTTTTTTCATATAGCTTAGTGTAGAATATCTTGCATAATAAAAAATATCTAGTCTTTTGTTTGCTTTCTTTTGTACAAGGTAGCTGAAATCCAACGCTGCAAGTAAATGAGACCTTATGGACACCTAGCTAGGTGGTCGCTTAGTTATTGGGGAAAACTCATGTTTTCTAAAACAGACCTGGACAGGTGGCTGTTGTTGTTGCTGCATGCTATATTATTTACTATATATTGTATAATTCGATACTTTCATCTGATCTTATTTCGTTTTTTATGTTAATTAAGGACTGACCAAGAATGAGTTACTTATCCAAGAATTATTCTTCGGTTTTGAAAGATATTTTGCGGTTGGTTCTTAATATATATATGACTTCATAAAAACCAAGCGGCAGAAAGGGCCAGCAAACCTAAAAGAAACAAAACAAAGCAAATTATACACACCGTAAAAACCATGTCAGATCTAGAACTTGGACTGGAACATGTTTCTAGTATTTGTTAAACTGGACACTTTTTATAGAGAGGAAAGATTTTCCAGAGACGCTCAACTTTATCTATTTTTGTCAGAATTCTTTGTCAAAAGCTTTTCTTTTGTAGTCAAGACAAAAAAAAAAAAAAAAAAGGAATCGAATTTCGTCCAAGTAATGGCTACATAGATGTACATCCATCCATGCATGCATAAATGAGACCATCGCGTAATGATGTTATTATAGTACTGTTGCACTATTGCCTCAAGTTTGGTTGTGAATTTGAGTCTTAAAGGAATCATGATGATTGAAGAACTAATGGGATATATAGTACATTAATTATTTGAGTTGAAACGAGTTTCATTTTTTTTCTTTTATAAATTATGTATTCTTAAAGGAATCATGATGATCCCACTTTGGTATTACGATTACTAATATTCGTCTTCATTTCTAAATGAGATGTTTTAAGTTTAAATTTTAACTTAACTGAAATATTTTAGGTTTGAATCTTATGAGTGACGAATTTGATACCAACTTGTTTTCCTTACATCATTATGTAAATTCATTGTACATGCTGGTAATAATATTTTTATTCTCGTTCCTTCACAGAAAAATACCTAAAAATTTAGATATTTTTAGGGAAGTGAATTCAACCCATTTTTTTCCCTTGAAATTTTATTTTATTTATCTTTTGATTTATTTAGTATTTTAATCAAATAATTAAAATAAAATCAAATGACAAAAACAAACACAAATGGTGCAGTTTCAAATTAAAAGAGAATCAAATAACAGAACTTTAAAAACAATCAAATAACAAATAGAAGCAAAGGACTGTAAAAGAAAGAAAAAAGTTTGCGGATAAAAAACTAGAACATATATTACTTCTCATTGCAGTTTTATTCATGAAGATAAAGGTAATACAGATCTTGTTAAGAGAATTTCACAAACAACGACCATGTACTACAAGAGAGCTGATAGATAATTCTTCAGCACCCACTTTATTTTAATATGCAACTTAATACGGGCTCCTTCTCCATCAGCTTCACTGGATACTGCATCACAATAAATTGCAACGAACGAGTAATTAAGGTTAGAGGCATAAAATCTCCGTCACATAATACAAACTTATATTGATGCATAATAAAACTAAAAAAATTTCTATAGCGAAAAAACTTACCTGTTGCATTTAGTGTTCGGTCCAATTGGGTAAGGAAGGCGGATGCCACAGGCCCCAGGGAGTCCAGAGATGAGGTTAGGTTTTATTCCTTGGACTTTTGTAGCAGTGTTGACCAAGCAGGTGCAAGCGGTTCGGCGATCAGGTGCGGTCTGAGCGGCGCCGTTCAGTTTCCTGATCCCTTGGCAACATGCTGGTGGAACTTGCCCACCAGCCTTCAAGTAAGGAATGCAGGGTGCCGCGTAGTTTGACACCTGGCCGCATGATGATATGGTAGCTTGGGCCAATGGTGCACCCACCACCATGCACACGAGGGCAACGAAGGCAAGCTTGAATGCCACAGAGTTCGCCATTGATATTGGAATTCAAGGAAACTAAAGAGCTTGATGAATGCTTCTGCGTTGATTTGTGATAGTTTGATTGATTGTGTGGTATGGGAAATAGGCTTTCGGTGGGTTTATATAAGAAAATGTGGGAGTGCGGAACAAAGACACGTACGTACTGTGCTACGAATATGGATGCATGGTATTAGTTGGCAGCTCTGTATTCAAAGCTTTTTATTTGTACTTGTTTTTATGCGACGTCATTAATTTGAATGCTCTTGAAGCTTCATGTAGAAAGCCATGAAAATTTGAACTTGTAATCTGCCTTGAGCTGAGGCTAGTGTTGCAGGTGTCTAATAGTACGGTAATCTTCCAAAGAGGATAGCACAGAGACTGCTTCGGAATCTGTAGTTTCATTAGGCCATCTCCATTTATAGGAGATTTGGATCTAAGTTTACAGTTTATGGTTTCTCTAAATGCACCAACAACGAAAATTTATTTATTTTTAATTATTACAAGCGACATTACTGCTCTAACTTTTAAATCAAGTGCATATATATATATATATATATATATATATATATATATATAAGCCCACACGTATTTAGACCCAAATATTGAAATTTGAGTTATTGCATTGGAGCTATACATCTTACAAGTTACTGAAGTTTTCTGAGAAATTGTATGCAACTTCTGTCACATTTGTGTTTCTTAATTTTTGACAAATTTACCATGTGGACTAGTTAGTCTTGTTCACAAGGACCATTTCCATTGACCATATGAATCAATCATACAAGAAAATTATGACGAGCTATTTTCTATCAGTGTTTTAAAAAACGTCCTAAGCGGCTGCCTAGGCGCTAGGCGCCTTGGAACCAAGGCGATTTTGGGCAAAACGGCTGGAAAAATCGAGGTGGCTCTAGGCGGCTGCCTAGGCGGGCTAGGCGGTGCTAGGCGGTTGGGTGATTTTTTTTTTATTATTATTTTTATTTTATATATATATATATTTTTTTTTTTTTTTTGTGAAATGTGTTTAAAGTCTAAGTTCTAATTATACCTTGAAATTTTGTTAATTTTATAGAATAGGTGTGTTGTGTATCAACTTAAATTCTAGGATAATAAAAATAAGTATCTTACATTACTAAATTTCCTTATTTTCCTCCTATTTTCCATTTTATGTTGTTTTAAATTGTGAACTTGTTGTACATGTGTCATCCTACAATACTCATCACTATGGTTATATGACATATATGCTTAATGTGTTTTTAAAATTTGGACTTGTTGGATACTCTTTTTGCATTTTATCATTCTTTTATTATCTTATCCATGGATTTCATACAAGTATAATTTTTTGTAAGTGTCAATATGCATTTATTTACAACATATACAAGAAATTTACCTAAATCCGCCTAGGCGCTAGGCGCTAACCCGCCGCCCAACTAGCGCCTAGCGTTTTCTATCATGACATCTTTTAGTCCAAAACTTTCAAGTGGAAGAGATATCTTTGAGATATTTTGAGTCTTTTGACTAGAATATTAGTAGAGATTTTTTTTTTTTTTTGACCAAACATATTATATATACTTAGGGGGAGGAGGTGGACTTAGCCTCATAATGGGTTAGCGATAATGTGGTTCAATTCACTTTTGACGAGAATCAAACTTAAAACCTCTCACTTACAAGTGAAGAATAATATCACTAGACCGTATTACAAAGTGACTATTAATAGAGAATTTGAGTTGGTGAATCTCCTAGTCTCCTATTAATTAACTATACGGTTAAGAAATTTTACTACAGAGAGCCCTTTTAGTTCACTTATTACCTAGCAAGTAATTGGCATATATATATATATATATAAGAATAATTTATCTTCCTAGGTTCGATTCCTTACTTTGGTGAATCGCACGATGATGGTTATGGAAAGTTGAAATACTTCTATAAGTTTTCACAAGCCCTGAAAGAATGGATTACTTTGACGAAGTCACCAACTATCCCTCCTTTTGAGGAAAATAGAAGAATAATTTATATGTCCACAAAGCATGCGCACCTTTGTCACGAAGGGACAAATCTTATTAATTGATTTACCCCAAGAATAAAAGTTACACTTTTCTCACAGATATTTCAAAAAATAGATCACGTTATTTAACACTTCTTTTTACACGAGGACAAATAACTTGATAAAACCATGACGATAGAACACATGAATGTGAAAGAAAGAGAGAGAGAGAGAGAGAGAGAGAGAGAGAGAGCACATGACCACACTGCAACCCAACAACAAATTAAACACAGCAAAGTCATAATTTTTTTCATGAAGGTGATGTATTAGACACAGAAATAATAAATAACAATAGGCAACGAACAAGAGTACTAAGGATTTTTATACATACTCGTCGCAGTTGGTGGAGGAGCTAATTTTGTACGGGACATCGACTCCTCACTTGTCGGGAAGCCCTTCTGCTAGGGATACATTAACTCCAGGGACGTCGGAAGCAGTCTGTCTCAGGCAATTGCAAATGATTCGGCGGTCAGCAGTGTTCCTGCTGGTAGAGTTGTTGAGGTTTCTAATTCCATTGCAACAAGATGCAGTGACAGCTCCGCCTGCGGGACACTTGTGCACGTGTTATCGCATCGACTATAGGCACGCTCACGCTCACCACCATGCACAAGGCCACCACGAAAGCAAGCTTAATCGTCATTGCAGAGCTGCCCATTATTAATGACTAAATGATCACCAAAGATCGAGTTCTGTGATTAATGGATGTAGATAATGACTTGATTTGGGGACTTGGAACCGTGGTCTTGTGATTATATTGATCGGACATGGGGTGAATGTAAGCTAGAGTGACAAGCCTTTTGTGATCGTCGAGGTGTACGTATTACATCAATTCCTATGATCAGTCGTTAATTAAAGGAAAATATTAGGTTTATATTTTTATACCACATTTGTGTATCCGTATTAGATGATGCGAAATGCTATCTATATGTTATGTTCATTAATAATTTTACATTATTAACTATTAATTATATGCATCAATTGTCACATTAAGTAATATTCTTTCTTTTTTTTGCCAAACAGAGCTAATTTCATTAAAAAAAAGACTACTACAGAAAGTCCACAGACAACCCAAACCAAAAGAAATACAAGGACGGATCCAAAAACAGAGCCCAAAACAACCATAAAGGGAAGAAACCCTAGATCTGAACAAAGGGACCAGCCGCCTTCGCCCAAACAGTCACACGGTCGTTGCACAGCCACCATCGCTGGGAAGAACCAACTTACCATATTGACGAACGGAAAATGGGAGTGGTGAACCATCCGCACTCTAAGCACTCTATAATCCAACCAATTACTGCAAATTACACTTTAACAGCCACCCACACGCAAAGCATGTCTCCAAACGGGATCCATCGAGAAAACGCCCGATGAGCTGAGTAGCAGAGGCCGGTGGGCAGGGATTCACGGCAGGGAACAACGGTTGGAGTGGAAGAAAGCTTGAACCGAGATATAAGATGAGAACCGCCATGAACCGTGACAAAGTTCAGAGAAATCGAGAGAGAGCTCAAAGCAAGATGAGACTAAGGCTAGGGTTTGTGAGAGAGTCCTTCCTCCTTGGGTGAGGGAAAGAAAGCAGCGAGAGAAAAAAGCTAGTTGGGAAAACAAATTCCCACTCAAGTAATATTCATATATGATCTTAATGTGACGGATGAAACCCACGTTGATAGGATAAAGGATTTTGTATGGTTTATAAGGAGTTGTGCTACTCTTAAAATTGTCAATTCGTTTTATGGTACAAACTCAATTTTTTTTCATGGTATCAAAATAAGTTGTTCCACAAGTAAAGCCCAAAACGGCTGCACATGCTTCACGTCACCCATTTGTGTTGACCACATGTTTGGCTTAAACACTCATCACATGTGAGGAGGGTGTTGAAAATAAAACTTACATATACAATGGAAGAAAAGACACTGCATAGATTTATACAGAGTTAATGTTACTTACCATATTACCAAGTAGCTTCATTGGCACACCAAGAATGACCACTAATTAATACCTTAACAGCTGACAATATATCTCGATTTTGAGATGTGTTTGCACTAATTCAAGGAATAGACAACTTACATAGTGATAATAACAATACTCTTTTATTTTTTAGGTCGAACACTACTCATTTAATTTCTTATCGAATCACATTTTGAGTTATAGTGTGTGGTTGAGTTTCGAGAACCTTAAATGATTTCACTATTAAGTCAATACCACTGTTTGGGAAATAATGCTAGGGATACTAAATGTATAGACTAAATTTTGTAAGAATAATGTTAGGGAGACTAAATTTATAGATAAAATTTTGAAACTAAATGATGTGTCACCAATAGGAAATGAGCACGTTTATCAATACTTAAGTAATAATTCGCTCATCAACTTTCATATCATTTAGTTTACAAAATTGTCTTCAAATTTAGTCTCTCTAGCATTACTCATTTTGTAATTTAAATGACATAGATATTGATGAATAGATTATTATTTAAATAGTTATTAACGTGCTTATTTCTTATTGGTGACACATATTTTAGTTTGCAAATTTAATCTACCTAGCATTACTCACCCAAGTGAACCAAATTTTTAGAATTTTTTTCTCTTCCTGATTTGTTTCATCATTTTCATTTCGTAAAAATGAGGTCTATATAATTCGGATTAGTAAAGAAAAAGATGCGTGCGGCCTAACAGCCCCAGACGGTCAGGTCCACGCCCCACAAACAAGTGATCGCAAGTGATAAGTTGAATTTTCTTGAAGGGCCTATCATTCAAGGCATTAGAATTTGGGGAATGTTTTCTCTTTTGGAACATGAAAAATTTCAGAGAATTTCCTCAACGGATCTATAAACCGAAGTTATCATACAAAAGGGATTCTCTACGGGTCGTAAACCAAACGAATATGATGAGCAATGCGTGATACTTTAGGCCACGTTTGATATGTAGCGATCAGCAAGGATATGAGAAGCATTATCATTCTGGAAATCATTGTATTAGCTTAGCAAAAGATTTTAGCTCTGTGTAGTATACCACGTTTCAACCCTTTATTTTGAACACTAGCTCTAAAAGGAGCTTAGGTATCAGTACTTTTGTAACCAAGTAGCTCACTTGACAAAGAAAGTGCCAACGGGTTTTGGACCCCAAAGTAGTTAATTTTTCTCAACTAAACTAATAGCACTGTATGTATATCACAAATTTTATTATATAACAGTAGCAGGCTCAACAACCATAAGGAGCTTTTAATCAATTGGCCTTCAAAGTAAAAACCTGGAGATTTTGATTTTTCACTGTATTTGAGTGGCAAAAAATGTAAGTACTCTCGACTACATCACAAGTCTTCATTAATAATTCATGGAATGATAATATCATGAGATGTTGTTCTTTGATTCATATTTACCGTCCCACGTACGACAGGAGTTTTTCTTGATTACAACTGTTCTTTTACTGTACACTAGGACAAGAGTTGTTCTATTATTGCATCTTTCTTTCTTTTCTTTAATAATCATATGATTGAGTTAGTTAGAGGTTGTTAGTGAGGGTATTTGGGTCTTTTGCAATAGGCCTAATGACTATAAAAGGAAGTTGTAGAGATCATTTTCTGTAGAGTTGTATTCGACTATTGTGATAAATACAGAGAGCATTTCCTTCATCTTCTTTCCTTGTTCATCTTTCTGCCATTGTTTCTTTCTTCAATCTTTTATAGATTCATAGGTTAACATGGTATTTCAATGTAGTTAACATGGTATTAGAGCCACCAGGCTCACACCATGGATTCTGGTGGTTCTGTTTTTTTTTTTTCATTAGATTTCATCGTTTTCATCGTTTTTCATTAGATTTTCTTCAATGCTTCTGTGATCGTCTAGTAACTTCTTGGCAATCCGCTTTGACTCCGCCTAATCGCTAGTTCCTCCCTGGCCCAGAGACTATTGAGATCAAGATACCATTTTTTTTTATATCGAGCGGGTCTTCCGCCTAACCCAAGTATGACAACTTCTGCCTTTCGAGCTCTCTTGAATGACGACGATGTTGGAAGGGCGATTGAAGGTGATGACTTGGCCTTGGAACTCATCACTAAGCGTGGTCTTAATGGAGACGAAGCACTTGATGGCCAACTTCTCCGTGTTGCTACCATCCATGGCCATGCCTTATTTTTCCCCAAATTGGAGTTTTGATTTGTGATATTTGGATTCAAGACTTGAATGGTTGTTGATCTCCGGTGTGTTTTTTGGGCTTTTTCGCTCAAGAACTGAAGATTCAGTCATCCGCTGGTTTGGGTGTTGCTCGAAGATTAAGCATTTGGCGATCTGAAACAGTGCTATTCGGAGATCTGTTGGTGTCAGTTTCGCGAATCAGGTGATTTTGTTTACTGATTTTGTATGATGCCTATTCTTTGAAGCTGTGGTGTTTGTTTTGCCTTAATTTCGTGATTTGATTGAAGTAAAGTTTTGGGGTGTGTTGGTTAGAATCTTGATGCGTTGGTTTGGGGTTTGTCTTTCCTTGGAGTATCATTCTTTGGGATTTGAGAATATGTTGGGAGTTAAAGTTTGTGGGTTTAAAGAAGAAAGTGTCAATCTTCGAGTGTCATTCTCCTTGGTTAATCTTGGTGTTAGTCTCTGTAAAGATTTAGGAAGATCTCAGGAGTGTCGTTCTCCTTGGTTGCTTTAATTTCTTGGAGTGTCATTCTCCTTGGTTGATTTGGGTTCTTGGAGTGTCATTCTCCTAGGTTGATTTGGTTTCTTGGAGTGTCATTCTCCTTGGTTGATTTGGTGCCAGTGTCTGTAAAGATTTAGGATGGGTAATTTGCATATACAGTGAGTGTGTTACTATGGCTTCTTAGTTCAAAGTCGAAAATCTGTTGGGTATGTTAACGATAAAGCTAGATTGTAGGCTTTCATCATGGCTTCACCAACAACAAAAGTTGTAGTCTTGTGTGATGATAATGGGGTGAGCAGAGGTTTTGGTCAGCAGTTACAAAGGTGTCAGTGGGTGCTTTCTTGTTTGCAGCAAGTGAATTCTTGAAGCATGGTAGATATCTTGCTCTCGCAGTTCCAGATCAATCTCAAATACCTGGCTAGTTCAAACTACACTTGGATACTCCAAGTTTAGTTTGAGGGGGGAGTAATAACCATATGATTGAGTTAGTTAGAGGTTGTTAGTGAGGGTATTTGGGTCTTTTGCAATAGGCCTAATGACTATAAAAAGGAAGTTGTAGAGATCATTTTCTGTAGAGTAGTGTTCGACTATTGTGATAAATACAGAGAGCATTTCCTTCATCTTCTTTCCTTGTTCATCTTTCTGCCATTGTTTCTTTCTTCAATCTTTCATAGATTCATAGGTTAACATGGTATTTCAATGTAGTTAACATTCTTTTCTATAACTATTTTAACTAAACCCATCTTATAATTAACGAGTTATTGGTGAAAAATTCAATCCGGCGGTTGTTCATGCTAATTTTGCTTCCTTTTTTCTCTTTCCGTTTCATTTTTATTTAGTTTCTGATGGGAGGAAGAGGGAAGTAGTAAAATGGAATAGCAAAAGAGAACAACATTACCTAAACTTAAATATTATTAATTAATTCAACATGGACGAGTATTATAATATTGATGACCTAGTAGATGATACAGAAGTAGTACTAGAACAACTTAAACGATTCCCTCATGAGGAATCCCGTGTGGCCGGACCGCACAAGCACATTTTATTTTCACTAAATATTATCTGCGGCCGGAAATTGATAATCTCCCATCGCTTACTTCACGCTGCAATCACACAACAACAGAACACACAAAAATCAATAAAATTATTTTTGTTCTTGAGGAAGATGCATTAGCCAAAACAAAAACAATTAGCAACGACGTATGCATTTTTTCGGGTTTATGGAGTTCAACTTAGATCAAAGATCTAATGGTTTGACATTCAACAGGAATTAGGGTTTTGTGATGCTTACGTGGCGCAGTTGGTGGAGGTGCTGATCTTGTAGGGGACGTTGACTCCACACTTTCCAGGAAGCGCTGCTGCATTGTTAGGGTTAACACCTCTGATGCTGCCGGCAAGATTCTTCAGGCAGTTGCAAGCAGCCTGGCGGTCAGCGGTGGTCCTGGCGATGCCGTTAATGGTTCTGATTCCATTGCAGCAAGCTGGAGGGACAACTCCGCCCCCCTTCGCGTAGTTAATGCATGGCGCAAGGCTGCTGGTCACTTGGCCACATGTTATGGCATGAGCAACGCTCACCGCCATGCTCAAGGCCACCACCAAAGCAAGCTTGGTCACTGCAGAGCTAGCCATAATTAATGACTTAAAGAGGCTGTAGATTACCAAATATTTGTATGAAAAATGGATATGAAAGAACTTGATTTGAAAACTCGAGTAGCTAGTGAGTTCTAAAGGCACTATGGTGTGGTGCTTATATAGAGAAAAATTAAGAAAGAATAGTTGAACTAAGGGTATAGTGGTCAACAACTTTTGTGGCCACGTTTACGTGTTTAATTACTTGTTACATCAATACCACCATGAAATATTAATTTGAACTCCTTACATTTTAAAGTTGTTGAACACTCGTCGGAACATATATCAAATTATGATTTGTATACTATGAAAAATGATTTCTTTTTTATGCAACGATACTCTATTTTAAAACGTAGGGGATAGTTGGGGTAAGTCATACAATGGGCGGTCATAGTAATTTGATTTTAAAACTCGTTATCTAAGAGAATCGAACCTAGTCAAAACATTCCACTTACAAGTGAAAAATTATGCATAAACAACCGTGTATTTTATTTGATAAATCTTCTTGCTACTAAGTCTCATGCGTGGTCGGCTAGTATAGTGAGAAACATATATTACTTTATGTGAACTGAACTACAGAAGAAAAAAGGCATGCATGTACGTCTGGTAGGAGTTGGGAAGGAGAGGGAGTTGGTTGTTGTGATGAAATTAATGCTTTTGGTACGTACCATGCTCTAATTTGTAATTGCAGTTGAGTCCATTAAATGCTCTTAAGCACAAATTCAAGCGTATTAGCCTAATCACATAAATGATCCGCCACTTACCACCTACGTGAACGAGAAAGTACTTAATTATATGATTGGCGAAAACCCTAAGATAAGTTTCATAAAACGAAATTCACGCCTCTCGTGTAAAAAAGCCATCAAAGGAGAATCAAATTCCTTGTACAAATTTGGGGATGAACATTATAATTTGGGGAAGGACTTTATAATTTGGGGAAGGACATGAGAAGCATTATCATGCTGGAAATCATTGTATTATGCTTAACAAAAGGTACGTAAGAACGACTGGACTATACTAACTAAGGTCTCATTTGTTAACCATTTAATTTTTAGGTTTAGTTCTTTTCAATTTAGAAAAGAAATGAAACCTGTTTTAAAATTGTTTGTTAACTGTTTTTCATTTTTTTTTTTTTTTTTGAGTTTTCTTTTTAGGTGGAACTTGGAAAATAATAATAAAAAATTATAATATTCTCAAATAGTGAATTTGAGGTCATTACATAAAAGTACATGTGAAAAGGCAAGAGAAAAGACCCTGGCTGACCAGTTTGAAGCCAAACGTTCGAAGAACAAGGTAGCAGAGAGAGGAGATGCTCGCCGTGAGGAACGATCGGCACAGGACGTGTAGAGAGCAAATTTTTCGATCTGAACCTTTACCAGGTTTCAAAGGTTTGGTTGTTGACGGGGGTGAGTGGCGTTTTGAGGCATGTTGGTGCGGCTAGGGTAATCGAGGTGTGGTGCTGCAACTAAAGAAGAGATCGCTGGTTCGTTTTGAAAACATATTGACAATCCTTCTTCTGAAAATTAAAAAAGACTTTGGATAATATTAGGAGTTAATTAGGAATAGTATAGTGGGTGGAGAAAGGGATTCCGTGGAGAAATAACATTTTAAAATTTTAACTTTTTATGGTGACTGAGATAATAATATGAGAATTTTAACCAAACACTCTTGGTACTGTTCATTTTAACGAAAAACAACATTTTTTCTAAAAAGTCAATCCTAGTACTATTCACTTACAACACCTTTTTGTCATTTTCGTTAAAACATAAAGTTTTCAAGTCATTTTCATTAGTTTTCCTTTATAATATAGATAGAAAAAAGCAGATTAGGTGGGTCTAGCAGCATTCAAGCCAGATATTAAACAGTTTGCTCTTCCTGAAGGCATAAAGTGAAGTAAGATCAGTATTAAGATGAAAATTAGCAATTCTTGCTCTTGTTTTAAGTCTACCCGGAGGCAGCAGAAGATTTTAGCTTTGTGTAGCATACTATATTTCTACCCGTATCTTGAACCCTAGCTCTAAAAGGAGCTTAGGTATCGGTACTTTTGTAACCAAGTAGCTCACTTGACAAAGAAAGCGCCAACAGGATTAGGACCCCAAAGTAGTTCATTTTTCTCAACTAAAAGCATTATATGTATATCACCAATTTTATTATATAACAATAGCGGGCTCAACAACCATAAGGAGCTTGTAAGTGAATAGTATTAAGATTGACTTTTTAGAGTACAAATGTAATTTTTCGTTAAAATGAACAGTACCAGAAGTGTTTGGTTAAAATTATTTTTAATCAATACGTCTTCATTAATAATTTGTGGAATAATAATATCATGCGATATTGTTCACTGATTCATATTTACCGTCCCACATGCGACATGAGTTTTTCTCGAATACAAGCTATTCTTGTACTGTACACTAGGACAAGAATTGTTCTATTATTGCAGCTTTCTTTCCTTTCTTTTCCAGAACTATTTTAACTAAACCCATCTTATAATTAACGAGTTATTGGTGAAAAATTCAATCCGGCGGTTGTTTATGCTAATTTTGCTTCCTTTTTTCTCTTTCCGTTTCATTTTTTGTTTAGTTTCTGATGGGAGGAAGAGGGATTAAAGTAAGTAAAATGGAATAGCAAAAAGAGGCCAACATTCCTTAAACTTAAATATTATTAATTAATTCAACATGGACGGGTATTATAATTAATGACCTAGCAGATGATATAGAAGTACTAGAACAACTTAAACGATTCCCTCATGAGGAATCCCTTGTGGCCGGATCGCACAAGCACATTTTATTTTCACTAAACATTATCTGCGGCTGGAAATTGATCATCTCCCATCGCTTACTTCACGCTGCAATCACACAACAACAAAACACAAAAATCAATAAATTATATTGTTCTTCTTGAGGAAGATGCCTTAGCCAAAACAAAAACAATTAGCAACGATGTATGCATATTTTTCGGGTTTATGGAGTTCAACTTAGATCAAAGATCTAATGGCTTGACATTCAACGGGAATTAGGGTTTTGTGATGCTTACGTGGCGCAGTTGGTGGAGATGCTGATCTTGAAGGGGACGTTGACTCCACACTTTGCAGGAAGCGTTGCTGCATTGTTCGGGTTAACACCTTTGATGCTGCCGGCAAGACTCTTCAGGCAGTTGCAAGTAGTCTGGCGGTCAGCGGTGGTCCTGGCCAAGCCGTTAACGGTTCTGATTCCATTGCAGCAAGCTGGAGGGACAGCTCCGCCATTCTTCACGTAGCCAATGCATGCCCCAAGGTTGCTGGTCACTTGGCCACATGTTATGGCATGAGCAACGCTCACCGCCATGCACAAGGCCACCACCAAAGCAAGCTTGGTCACTGCAGAGCTAGCCATAATTAATGACTTAAAGGGGCTGTGGATTACCAAATATGTGTATGAAAAATGGATATGAAAGAACTTGATTTGAAAACTCGAGTAGCCAGTGAGTTATAAGGGCGCACTATGGTGTGGTGCTTATATAGAGAAAAATTAAGAAAGAATAGTTGAACTAAGGGTATAGTGGTCAACAACTTTTGTGGCCACGTTTACGTGTTTAATTACATGTTACATCAATCATTCCCATGAATTATTAATTTAAACTCCTTGCATTTTAAAGTTATTGAAAACTCGTCGGAACATAAATCAAATTATGATTTGTTTACCGTGAAATGTGATCTCTTTTTTGTACAACAACACTCTATTTTAAAATGGAGGATATATCTGGGGCAAGTCATACAATTGGGTGATCATAACAATTTAATTTTAAATTCGTTATCTAAGCATGGCAAACATAACCAAAACATTTCACTTACAAGTGCAAAATTATACATAAGCAACCGTGTATTTTCTTTGATATATCTTCTTGCTAGTAAGTCTCATACGTGGTCGGCTGGTATGGTGAGAAACATATTACTTAAAGTGAACTGAACTACAGAAGAAAAAAAGCATGTATGTCTGGTAGGAGTTGGGTGGAGTTAGTTGGTGGGTGTGATGAAATTAATGCTTTTGGTGGGTACCATGATCTAATTTTTTTATTACAGTTGAGTCCCTTAAGGCTCTTTAAGCTCAAATTCAAACTTATTAGCCTAATCACATAAATGATCCGCCACTTACCACCACGTGAAAGAGAAAGTATTTAATTATATGATTGGCGAAAGCCCTAAGATAAGTTTAATAAACGAAATTCACGCCTCTTGTGTAAAAATGCCATCGAAGGGGTAATCAAATCCCTTGTATAAATAATAGGTTCCAAATTTGACGAAGTTTATGTAACTTTACCATTCATCCTACTTAATTCATTTGTTGAGAACGAATCTCATGTTGATGAAATAAGAGATTTCATTATTAGTTGGTTTTATAGTAGAATCTTAACTTTTTTTATGGTATGAGAGAAGATTGTTCCTTGCGTGAAGCCCAACGATCACACGTGCTCCACGATACCCTATTTCTGTTATCCACGTATTAGGCTTGAAAATTCGATATACGTGTACGGGGCTTTTTAGAATGAATCTCACATTGATGGGAGAAGGGACCTTACATTGGCTTATAAGTAAGTTAAGTTACTCCACATATTGTCAATTTATCTTATGATGAAATCTAAATTTTTTTCAATTTGGCGTCAATTTTATACCAATTTCATGTGAATTTCATTGTACCGACAAATCAAATAGAAACACGACGAAAAACAAAATTTAACTTCTGTCAATTTAATGTTATTTCATAGCCAGTTGTCGGTAGTTCACAAAAATATCGCCCTTGATTGAAACAATTAATGCATAAAATCGTGCAAGATCTTCACTATATGTGTCGTGAATGGGTAAAACCAGGTAATTACAAAATATTAACCTTGGATAATGTCTTCCCAGTTGGCTGAAAAGAAAATGTAATGTTATTTATATCATGTTTTTATATCATATCTATATTATATTAGGTGACATCTGACGTGGACAGTCACATTATTTGAAAAATTTGCAAAACCTAAGGAAATGAAAGAGAAAAATTCTTCTTATACCACAATCATCATTTAATTATTATTTTATTAAATAATGAACTAAATTTAAAAATATGATTAATTGATCAAATGATGTGGATGTCTACATTAAATGTGGTACGAAAAGAAAACAAAATTTGTCGTACCCCAAACAATATTTCGCCTTCCACAATCTCGGTTGCTGGCACCTAGTTAGGTACACAATTAAGGTCGGGGTCCCTTGATATTAATGGCCAATGGTGCACGGTGCATAATTGTTCTATTCCGTCCTCCTTGTTGACATGCGAGTACATCAGAGTACCTCTCATTGTTTATGTTTTGTCCAAAACCAGCTAAAAAAAAAAAACAACTTGTGGACCAAATCTCTCGATGGATTAATCTCTAGCTTACTGATCCGTCACTTGCTCACTAGATATCTATCTAATTAGCTCGTCCTTTTATTCGTTGCTTAATTGTTAAGCTACGATATTGCATGTGTCACCCAATTGGTTATCGTTTACATTAAAAGCCATCTTTTGTTTTATTGTAAATCCGAGCAAGTTTTCAATTTTAAAGCTATTTGCCAATGAAAGCCACTCTAGAGGAGTAGCTTCGTTGTTTACTATACACAAGGAGTTTTAGCCGTTCTTCTTGGTCACTAATTCAATAACTATGATCTAACAACTAAATTCTATTTTATAACATGAGGTCTCGTTTGGACATCTAAATACCAAACAAAGCCTTAGAGGTTATGAAATAGAATTGAGTTGTTAGATCTTGAATATTTAATTACTGATCAAGAATTCCAAGATCTAACAACTCAATTCTATTTCATAACCTCTAAGTCTTTGTTTGATGTTTAGATTTGATTGAATTTCATAGCTCATTAGATTCAATATACTTAAGCGAATGTCCATCTTATAATATTTTTCAAATTAAAAATAGAAGGATGAATTTTATCCTTTCTACCATGAAGGCCGGGTTTGGAAGGTGATTCATGAATAACTCACTTTTTAACTTTAACTTGAACAAAATTTAGAAGAGAGATTATGAGGTTTCATCTGATTGTATAGAGTATTGACATAATTATATGGAAGTAGGAGTTTTTGTTGAGAATGTGTTTCATATTGATGGGAGAAAAGATCTTGCATGAGCTTATAAGAGATTGTGCTACTTTTCATAATTGATTTTATGGTGGAATCATAGGCAAAGCTACGAGGAGTGGCAGCCGTTCCTCCTTTCGCCGGAAAACATACCTAGGAGCGTAAGTTCAACCCCTCTGCTCTCGTAAAAAATGAGGAGTCCTATCATACTTCAACCATCATGAACCCCACCCCATGGCCTCTTCAGCTTCGGTATCATGTGCAAGCTTCAAGCTTACTCGATAAGCCGACATCGAGTTCCTAACCGAGAAACTTCAATTTGAAGTCCTTCTTGATTTCGTCAGGGCAGTCTCGCAGGGGGTGGCAGAGGATGCTGGCTTGGGATAATGGGATGAAAGGTTGGTATATGGGTGGGATAGTGGTGCTGATGGAGAAGAGAGGTTGGAGAAGGAGACGGCGGTGGGGTTGACGGAGCAGAGAAGTTGGAGGAAGACACGAGGTTCAATCAATGGTGGAGGACACGCGGGGGGTTTGACAGAGGAGGAAACAGGGTTGGTTGGCGGAGATGATTGCTCGTTTAGCTTGGGGAATCTCCAATTAGAGAGAAGAATGATGTTTGGTTAGTAGAATAGGGTATGTTTGGATATTAGAATAGATAATGCAAGGTTGTGTTTGGGATTTTACAAGGGCAGGTGTATTGTGCCACATAATAAGTTCAATATACTAGATCCTGACAGGTCAGGATCTAGGTATCATCCCTCTTTCTTTTCTCTTCCGACCCCATCTTTTTTTGTGGTTTGTTAACCTATTTCTCTTTTTTTATTATTATTATTATTATTATTATTATTATTATTATTCTTGTATCCATTTTTTTCCCTCTTTTTAAGATCCCTAACGTATTTATCTTAAACTCTCATATTATTTATAAATATTGTATTAATTTTTAAAAAATAATGTAAATATTGTTTAATGCTTATTTTAAATTCATTCAAATCCATCTAGGCTCCTGTCTAAATCTCGTCTAGGCGCCTAGCTACTAGGCCCCAGTCCTCTATCTGACTAGCGCCTAATGTTTTTTAGAATCTAATCCTAACCAATTTAAGCTTCTTACATGTCTTTGATATTACTGCTTACAACCGTTTTGGTGAGGAGATTGTTTTCTATTATGAATATTAACTCAAAACTTTGCACTCTCCAATGTGAAAGCAAAGCTTGCACTTTTTTGAATTTCGCCCCTCCCCTCGGCAAATCCTGGCTTTGCCACTAGGTGGAACCTCAATTTTCTTCATGTATGAAAGCAAGTTGTCCCACGTATGAAGCCAAACAGCCACATGCGCTCCACGTCACCCCATTGTGTTGTCCACGTGTTAGGTCCAAAAATTCGCCACACGTGAGGGGGCATTTGTGTTTCAAATACCTATTGTTTGGAGAACATTTGTGTTTGCAAAAAGAGGAGAAGATTATTAGATCAACAAGCTACAATGGCTTCATCTTCTATACCGGGCTATGCAGGTTAGTGTTTTTGCATATGTTTCGATTTTTCATAAACTTGTTTATTGGTGAGTGTTTAGTTTGTTCTTGATTTGTGGTGATTCAATTGGCAGACTTGTGGTTAATAACATTGATATATATATATATATATATATATATATATCTTACACCACATTGATGGGAGAATGAACCTTCCATAGGCTTATAAGAGGTTAAGCTACTTCCCATATTGCTAATTAGTTATATGGTGGAATCCCAAATTTTTTCAGGTTTACTCTTCGTTTTTTTTTTCTTTTGCGTCGAGAAATAATTTGTCACATACATCATCAGTATGGGAATTGAGTCTTGAAACAAGATCAAAGATTATTCTTGAACACTATTCTAAAAATCCCCGCCTAGGTGCTAAGCGGCTGGTCACCGTCTCAATTAATGCCTAGGCGTTTGAAAATTAAGAAACGGCACCTAGACCTACTAAGGCACCCGCCTAGCCCACCTAGATTGCGACTCATTTAGACAGAAAATAGATAACTTTCATTTTACATTTTATTTTTTTCAATAAATTGTAAGAGACTTGTCGAATACTTAAATGAAGACACATTATATGCTTGTTTCCCATGTTTTCATTATGTTCCAATAGCTCATCATATATATGTCATTATATTTTGTAGCTTATGATGAAATTATATATATTTTAAGTATAAATGCACTTATTTATACGAAATATAATAGATTTAATTAAATCTGCCTAGTTCACCTAGGCTCCCGCCTAGCCGCTAGGCCCCAACCTGCTGCTCAACTAACGCCTAACGTTTTTTAGAATCTTGTTTTTGAAGGAGGGAGGGAGGTGGGGGGCGAATTAATTAAAAGAAAACTAATGGGATTAAATAAAATATTTAAGTAGAATATATAGATGCCTTGATAAAGATGGTAAGAGTCATCATCACATACAACGACAACTAACTCATATCGGTGACATGCAATAAAGGAAAAAGAGCTCAGAACGACTCAATACTCATCCCTTATTCTTAAGGTAGACTAGCTACCTACTACTATCATATTAGTTATACTATTATCTAGCTAGATGCTCATCCAGATCGACCTGATCTTCACTTCACACTGCAAATAACGAAAAAATTACTTTTAGTAACCAAAACAAGGGGAAAAAATATTTATATTTAAAGGCTTAGTGTATTACAAAATAAAATATGCTAGCATTATCAAATTTGTACGCTCGTTTTAAATAGCGAAAAGTAATTAGCACATCATTTGATGAACAAATTTACCCAGCGCAGTTAGTAGAGGTGCTGATCTTGTAGGGAATGTTGACGCCACATAAGGAAGGGAGTTTAGCCGCGTTGGCTTGTTTAATAGTTTTGATTTGGGCAGCAACTGTTTTCAAGCATTTGCAAGCATTCTGTCGATCAGCTGTGGTCGTGGCTGAGCTGACCAGGCCTTTGATGCCCCTGCAGCAGCCCGGAGTGGGGGAGCCACCATTCTGGAGGTAGGCCAGGCAAGGCGCAAGACCGCCTTTAATCTGGCCACATGTGAGTGCTGCTCCAGTGATCAAGGGTGCAGCCAGCACTATCCACATTAAGAAAACACAAACCACCTTAGGACTAGCCATAGCTTTTGCGTACAAAAGTCAAAGGATGGTTTAATAATTTGGTGGTGCTTTTACTAGATACTGTGTGAGTAGGTGAGATGTGGAGTTTATACAGGGGGAAATAGGAGTGGGGCGTTGTAATTTTCTGTGTACAAAATTAATACTTGTTTGAATGGCCTGAACGCATGCAGAAAGATAACCGAGACTCGATGTGAATGCTGCATGCATGCAGTATAAACGACAAGCAGAGCCCGTTGAAAGATGTGTTGGTTAAATGGTTATAAATTGATGAACACCCAATCTTCACGCAACACAGAAAAAGGAGAAAAACACACAAGGGAATATTGTTTGTCATATTTATTTTAGGGTAATGTTAAGAAGACTAAATTTGTATATAAAATTTGTAAACTAAATGACATGAAAGTTGATGATTGAATTATTATTTAAACATTGACAAACATGCTTATTTCTTATTGGTGACACATCATTTAATTTATAAATTTTGTCTATAAATTTAGTTTTCCTAGTATTACCCTTTATTTTAACTGCCCATTGTTTTTTCTTGTTTCACCTAATTAATAAGGTTTTAGTTACTGAGACTCTCTCAAAATTAGCCTCTTTATAGACTTTTCGTCACCTCATGTTTTTGGAATAATATTTCATAATGTTGGCAAGAGAATTGTGCTGAAAACGTGAGGTGATGAAAAGTCCTACTTTTGAGAAAGTCTCCCTAGCATTTCTCTTCAGCGTATAAGGAATTTTCAATGTGACATATAAATTAGTGTTAAATTGTTATTAATAGGATAATACTTGTCTTCATGAAAGAACACATATCTCACTTCTTGTAAATAACATATATTCATCGTATAAATTTTAGAACCGGAATTATTCAAGTTTTTAATCTTTATTTGAATGCAATTATATATTATCCATATTAATATATGTGTTACATACAGTACGGATGGACGATATCATTGAGATGTCATAAACATGATATATTGTATTAATACAGGTATATGCAACATATAGTGATGTAACTATCACGCACAATAACTTCTCCGATAATTTTATAATTCAATTCAAAGCAACTAACAACTAGAATCGACGTTTACGTGTACGTTGTTAATCAACCTGTTTCCGATCAGGATTAGTAGGATTATACTCAAGCTAAAGAGTCAGTCAAATACCTTAGGAAAGAAGTTCAATACAAAAGCACTTCTAAATATTTAACAATATAAACACTTTTATCAAAGTTCACTTCAATTTTTTTTTTTAGTATAGATAATATCGATTATTAAAAAAAAATTCGAAAGTACTCTTGGTCTTTAAATATTCATTTTCCAAATAAGTGTACAAAGTATGAAATTGAATAGTGATATATTACAAATTTACCATGCATGATTTTGGTTTTAAAAAAATATGTTGTTTTCACACTATTTTTAGTTTTTAACATTTTTTTTTTTAGTTATCAAATTGAATTATTTAACCAAAAAAAAAAAAAAACAGAGATGATTAATCACATATGTTGTAAAACTAAAAGAAAATGATTTTTACACAACTTTTTTAATTTCTCAAATACCTATCTTTATTTTTAACCATCAAATTAAATATATAATGAACAATCAAAATTTATGCAGAAGAATATGTGTTTACCATTTTTCGAACTAAATAGAAAAGTTCGAATAGTCATCGATCTCACCATTCCCAATATGTATCAATCCTGTTTAATGTGGTATGGGTCAGTGTGCCACAACCGTTGGTATGTGAGCCGACCACGACATTGTGCCATACCTTGCCATGCACCGAAAGGCAAGAATGGGTCCATACTATCTACATGCATTATTTATACTAACCTTCCGCATTCACACGTCGGTGAAATACATTTTTTAAATTACGACATGTTATAGATGATTTACACATTTTAAATGTATTTATATGTATAAATTGACAACAAAAAAGTCAAATATTTGAAGTAAATGAATAATCTTAAATCATATTAAAAGAAATCCCTCATAACCAACTCAAGCAGCTGAATTCACATAATAAAATCAGTCTCTATAGAATTTACAATAAGAATAGACAAAATAATATTTAATGAACAATTGATTGAATCACATTATTGCTAACCTATTGTGAGACTATGCCCACCCCCTTCCCCTTAGTGTATAGATAATATCGTTTCTTAAAATAAAATAAAAAAACAATCATTTGACAACTAATTTAATCACATTGTTATCCGCGTGCGAAATACTTTTTTTTTATAACCAGCATTACATGTTTCTTAAGATGTTTTGAACGTGTTTAAAAATAGAGAAAATAAAATTGAATGAACAACTGATTGAATCACATTATTGCTATCTCATTGTGAGACTAAGCTTACCCCCCTCCCTTTTAGTGTAGATAATATTGTTAGTTAAAAAAAAATTATTTGACAACTAATTTAATCATATTATTATCAGCATGCGAAAGACTTTTTTTATAACCGGCATTACACGCCTCTTAAGATGTTTTGAATATGTTTAAAAATAAAGAAATTAAATCACATTATTGTTAACCTATTGTGAAGTATTAATTAAAAAAAAACAGCGCAAAAAAATTAACTACTAAAAAAACACTGTTAAATTGACGAAAATACCCCTGCCTTATTTGATGCATTATTTTAGGATGCCTTTGAAGTTTTTTTGTCTTGGGGCATTTTTGTCCAAATATTTTTGTTGAAGCTTGGTGACACCAAAAACACTGTTCACCACTTCAAATGAATAATCTTAGATCATGCTAGAAGAAACTCATCATAAACCTATTAAAGTAGCTGAATTCACATGATAAAATCAGTCTCTATAGAATTTACAATAAGAATAGAGAAAATAATATTTAATGAACAATTGATTGAATCACATTATTGTTAGCCCATTGTGAGGCTAAGCCCACCCTCCTCCCCCTTAGTGTAGATAATATCATTAGTTAAAAATAATAATCATTTGACAACTAATTTAATCACATTATTATCAGCATGCGAAAGACTTTTTTTATAACTTGCATTACACGTCTCTTAAGATGTTTTGAACGTGTTTAAAAATAGAGAAATTGAATCACATTATTACTAGCCTATTGTGAGGTACTAATTAAAAAAAAAAAAATGGCACAAAAAAAATTAACTATTAAAAAAACATTGTTAAAATGATGAAAGTACACCTGCCTTATTTTAGAAGTTTTTTGTCTTGGGGGCATTTTGTCCAAATATTTTTTTTGAAACTTGGTGACATCAAAAACACTGTTCACATTTTGTGTTGGCTTTATATAGAGATAACGTGGAGGAACTAGGGGTTTTTTTTTTTTTAAGACAAAGGAGACTTCATTAATGAAAGAGAAAATTACAAATTGTGATAGATGGACCCAAGTCTAAACCAAACACAAAACCCAACACAAACAAAGCAAGACAAAAAAAAGTGGACATACCCAAGTAAATAGAGAGCAACATTCCAAGTCAAGATAGGCCAAGACCAAGGCCGGAGGCCCATGTACACTTAGGCCCATAAGCAATAGTAAACAACAAACGAAAAGAAACCCTAAACAAGAGCAGCAAACGCACTCCTTTACCACAGCAGTTGCGCCCTCCACGAAGGGAATTCACTCCCCAAAAAGAAAAAAGCACCCAAACCAAAAGCTAGCTCTAAGAGTGTTGAGATCCATCAATCCACCAAGAAACACAATATCCACAGCCACACCTGCATAAAAAGTCACCAAACGTAAGGGGGTGTGCAGGACACATTTGTTCTGATGTGAATTGTTCCACACTTCACCCAATTTTTCTATTAAGCCGGTTCGGCAGTGGGCTGTGGATGAACGGTCTTGAGTCAAGATGGAGTTCAAAACTCCAAGATCCAACTCCTAATTATGGGTTGGAAAAGATGGGGAGGAAAGAAGAGTTCAATGGGGAGGGGAAAAGGGGCAGGCGATTAGAGAGGGTAAAACTGAGACAAGAGCTCAGTGGGAAACATAGCAAAAGAAATAGGGAAGAAAAGAAGAAAAAATAGAGAAAAAGGGGCTGCCACCGACCCCATAGCCAAAGGCTAGGGCCGGCGACAGTGGGTGGTTCTAGTTTTTTGCCTCTCTTGTTTGAACGGTCACGGTTAACTTACGTTAACATCTTATATTAATTATTTATAGAGAGAGAAAAAATAAAAAGTGTGAGAGGATTGGAAGGAAGTAAAGCAAAAGTGTGAAAAATACATGTGCTCACACATGATGAGTGTACCCTTCAGTTTCATATAATTCTATGAAGGGTAATATTAGAAAGACCAAAATTTTAAATCAAATTTGCAAATCAAATGATGTGTCGCCATTAATCAACGCTTAAGCACATTAATAAATATTTAAGTAATTATCCAATCATTAACCACCACATCATTTGGTTTGAAAATTTTAATCTTCCTAACATTATCTTTCTACGAAACTTACCAAATTTAACTTGCTTTTGTTGTACAAATGAAATAATGTACTTGTGCATTTCATATGCAATCCTTCAGAAAAAATAAATATAAAAAAACACTAAAGCAGAGCAAATTACTACGAGTGTGCCACAACCCTCCTTTTCGACACTTCGATTTGGCCATGACTGCTTTCTTGCATATCGCCAAATATCGTGGCGGAATTGTGCCTGTACTCTTTAGAAGGTAACGTTTCTAAGATAAAAAATAGTACCAATTTGCTAAATACATGCATGTTATATTGTTAAGTTGTGAACATGAAAATACAAATAAACAAAATAAAATCATTAAATCAACGATTAGATTAACAGTCTGACAATATAATATAAAACAGTTCTATTGATTAATTACTTGGTTGTAGTTTCTTGTTCAGTGTTCCATGTGTGAAGAAGGCATAAGGTTCACCATAAATGGCCACTCATACTTCAACTTGGTGTTGATCACAAATGTTGGGGGTGCAGGGGATGTCCGTACAATGTCTACCAAGGGTTCTAGGACAGGGTGGCTGCCCATGGCAAGAAACAGGGGGCGAAACTGGCAGAGCAACTCCTACCTCATTCGCCAGAGGCTCTCCTCAGACTTCAGAGTCACCACTTGTGACGGACGCAGGCAGAGTCACCAGCTACAATGTAGTGCCCGCTGGCAGTTTGGACAGACCATTGAAGGTGGCCAGTTTTAGATAATTTGTGGAAGCAATGAATTGTTTATATGGACTTAAGGATCATTTGAAAACACTTTTAGAATAACTAAAGTGTTTTTTATGGAAATATTTTTGAAACGAATTCTTAGTAAAAATACAAATAGATCCTGAAAAAGCATTTTAAGTGCTTTCTGCAAGAATCACATATTTGGTGCTTCTTCTAGAAAGCAATCAAAGTGCTTTTGAAATATGAAATCAATTTTACCAAAAATACTTTTAATTATTTTAAAAACACTTCCAAACGAGCGGTTATATATCTATAAAACTGCTTTGCAGTTTGCATCTTTGATTTTTGTAAAATAAGATTATAATGTCACATCAATGATGTAAATGCAATTTTTGTACATCCATCTAAGTATGCCACCAAGTTTATGTTTTGTCACAATTCTTTTTTTTTTTTTTTTGGTAAATACACACAACAGAAAATACAAATAAAATCAGTTATAAACTATTAGTGAACAAAAAAATTGGAGGATACCCGACACTGAACTACATAATTAGAAAGTAAACACAAATAGAACCGATTATAAACGTTTAACATAAACAAGAGGAATACAAAACTAACAATAAACCGTATATGAACCAGAACTTAGTGCTCCTTTATTGACATTTCAAATTTCCTCGAGTTTCAATTTTAGTAAAACCTTCGTAACCAGATTCATTTGTGTATGCTTTCCTTTATTTTTGTTAAGCTTTGCTAAATATATGATAGAGAACAACTCTCCTCCCAGAGGAACAATTAAATTAAATTTGATCCTAGAAAATGAGGTATATAATTGCTCTACAACAAGGTTTCTTTCATCAAATTAACTTAACATATCAAACCTTTTACTTATAAACACATCAAGAGGCAGCATCCATTCACTCTTAAGACCACCCAAAAGACACAATCTTCGTCCGACTCTGTCTGTCCATCAAAAGACACCGCCTCTCAACTAACAAAAAACCACCACTGTGCACATCAATCTTGCAAAATGTTTAAACGACTCAATAACTTAGTAACGAATATTTCATTCTTAAAACAATCTTCCCTCTCTCCACGCCAAGCTTTCCACCCGTAACCAACCAGTGACCAGGATGGTCTCGTGGCCCCTTGCTCATCTCAGACATGTCTACAAACTTCGCCAACTTGTTGCCAGCGACATGTTCTCTTGAACCTGAACTTGAGTCGCCAGTGGATGTCGCTTTCTTCAACTTTTCATTTTGTGTATGATCCCACACGGATCTCCGGATGGTGCAGCCTGGCAGCCTGGAATATAATAGCTTCATGTACAAGACATTTCTCGATCCAAAATCCCACACTCCGAGCTGTGCTCCAGTGACTATGTAGACACCAGAGTGGTCCCCTGTGAAGGCTTCAGGGTTCTCAATTGGTGCAGTGCTCACATGAGAGAAGTTTTTCCATTTTAATGGTTCGAACCATCGGCTGTCTTGCTCTTCAGGTCCTTGCCACTTGGGAGCACCAATTGCCACATTGCTACCCCAATATGGCCGAAGGATATTTGGTAGAGATGCTAAGTGCTGAAGATGAATACAAAGTCGATTGTGCTTACTTCCTTCTAGACACAACCGTATGCCTGTCACTGGCTTCCGTCCAACAGTAACCTGCAGATCACAAAACCTTGTTAATGGAGATTACATAAACAGCCTAGGAGGATTAAACCATGAATCAAACTCAGAATGAGAGATCACAAAAAATAAAAAAATGGCTATTAGACATCTCAAGGACATGATGTCCCACCAGTGCGCTGTACATGATGAATTGAGGAGTTAAACGATAAGCATTAATGTTTTTGTCATGTCAATTAGACTGCTTAATGTTTTAGTTTTACCACTTAGCCATTGGAACCCACTCCAACGCTAAGGAAGCTGGATGCACTTAATAAGGTCTTCCGTTAGATCTCATGCAATTCAGGCCCCACCTAACGAGAAAATTGAGCAAATTTTTGTCTCATTCTGTCCAAAGACAAGTACAAGCCTCCCAAAGGATGGAAGAGCTCAGCGAAGAGAGATTCATTGCTACCTGTTCTTGGCTGACATAAAGCTTTTGCCCCATTATGCTGAATTGCAAGGATGGGCAAACAGGTTCCTTTCTTTGGTGTCCAATATTTCTGTCAGACACAGGAGCCCATATTCGGGAAATTTGAAACTCTAGGAAATATCTCAGCTCTTCAATTGGAGGCTTATCTGCAAGAAGGATTTCAAAACCATTTAGTTGGCTTACCTTACTGCTAATGATAGAGCACATTACAGGAAAAAGAAAACTCTAACCCATCTATGATGAGTTCAGTTGTTATACATTCAAGGTAAAGATCAATAGCTCGAGTAAGGTGCTCTTTTCCGGGTATCTCTTCAAGTAGGGCTGTTATGGGAAAAAATGTCATCTCAATTACATCTGGAGAGGACCGGACAGTTCTTGCCCATCGGGTGTGGTTTTGTTCCAGATCATCTCCTCCTCTTCTTCTAAAAATGACCGTGACATCCTGCATCAACAATAATTGACGGTAATGAGAAATAACATATAGAAGTAATAGAACTCGGGTTAAAATGCAAGTAAATGTTCAGGTATGCCAAAATCAAGGGCTGGTGAGAGCTTACTCTATACTTCTTATGTATTTAAGAAATGGTAAATAAGATTACATTCAAGAAAAATGGAGGTTCAGAGAAAGAAGCAACTGTATACTTTTTTAAACTTATTTCTTATAATAAACCATCAAGCGCAACAGAGATACTGGATACAAATTATCAATACGTTACATACTTCTTTCCCAGCAAGATACGGTGCCATGGTGGGTTGAGGATGTATCCCTTGACTGTTGAATAAACCAGGATCACCGCCCTGAAATATATATAATGATACTCAGTCAGAACCTAAATTTCACGTAAAGGAGGCTACAAAATAATAAAAAGGAAAAGAAACAAAGTGGAACTAGCCTTATCATTAGATTTCATTTGACATGAACATCTATTGCTTTCTGTGTCTGAGAACCTCTGAGTTGCAATATCCTGGACATAGTTTTTGATCTCCGTGGTTGACAAAGTAGATGATTGGTGTTGTTTAACATAAATTACATCTTTTCCACCAATTGTTACCGATGTTATGACATGAGTTCCAAAATTCTCAATGAAGCTGTCAAGAAAAAGTAACCAATCTTAAATAAGGAACATTTGAAACTATTTCATCACAAGTTTCTACTAAGGCTACACATATTCATACCTAGCCAAAGATGCTGGATCCCAACTCCTCGGGACAGCCTGTTTCACATTTTCTTGCAACACTATTGGTGATTTAAAAAGCTTGACCTTAGCAAGTGGAATATAAAATCCATCCACAGAAAGGGTCTTCGTGGCTGCAGCATCGATATGCTTTGAACCAGTGAAGCTAAATGCAAAGTTGAAACTTCCAAGAGGAAAGCCGTCAGATGCGTTAGACTTTTGATTGAAATACTCAACCATCTGCAACCATTTGCCATAAGGATCATGTTAAATAACTTCATGCCTCTCTATCACGCACGCGCGCGCGCACACACATAGTTAAAAGGTAGCGACAGCCTCTTAAAAGCTGCAACGGATATATAAATGTTCTTGAGCGCACATAATTAAAAACTGAATTTGACCCTAGTTTGGTTACTAAACTCGCGCAAACAAGTACCTACAAGCATTCGATCGCCCGTGTATTTTCTAGTCCGGTACATTATTAAAAAGGATTAACACAATGCAGTGAGTGCATTAGTACCTATTGGGGAAATAATTTTATTAACATTGTTATTGCACATTAACCGTGGCAGAACACAAAACATGGAGTCGGAGCCGTAAGGAGCTGAACATTTTCCATGCCTTCACATTAATCCGATCGATAATTTAAAAATAAAACCACCTATGAAGTTCCTTTTAATCTTCTGCAACTACCCATCATTTCTTACGCAAATTTGCAACATATTTCTCAATGAACATCAATCTCATAACTTAAACACTTATCCACTTTCCCTACAATCACATCATAGTGAAATGTTCGCAAAATTGCAACCTAAACCCAATTCACAAACTCTTGCAACATCCACCAAAACTCTCAAAGCAGACACAACAACCTAAGTGCACAATCAAACAACAATTCGAGACAACGAAATCATAAACATTACCTCATGGAAGCTGCAGACTCCAGAGCTCTGCCGGCCGCCGGCCTCCGGCGAATGCCTGATGTCCCTGGAAACACCCGGCACAACAATATCATCATAGAGGCGGAGATCCCTGGTGTGCTCCTCGTCAAGCTCCAGAATCCTCGTACCCGCCGCTCCCTTACAGTAGAGCAACCTTGTATCGAAGTTCACGTCGAAGCCTCTTCCTAATGCCTGTACGGAGTTCACAGCTGTGTGCAAAGCTCCTGCATTTTCTCCCATTTCTCATCACACTACTGCCCCAAACCCCTATCACTCTTCCTCTGATCACGGATGATAAAACCCGACCCCAAATCCGAAACCTAAAACCCAGTTGCCTGTTCGGGTTCTGGAGCTCAATTCGAAGGACCAAGTTGGAAACTTTCCCGGAAACCCACAGGGGATTGGAGAATCGTGGCGCTTTCTGAATTGGGTTTTTGGGGATTTCTCTGTTCGAACATATTCTCGGGAAAGCTCGGGACTTTTTCTTCAGCTGACTTCTCTCTCTCTCTCCCCCCCCCCCTCCCCCCCTCCGTGTTCTTCGGCTGCTAAGTTTGACTGTGAAAAATCTTCGATTGGAAGTCTATATGTCGAACCAGCTGGAGCTCTTTCTCCTTCTTCCTCTAGATCTCAAAAATCCGTGGAAAGATTATCCAATCTTTCTCATTCTCCTTCTGCGTGTGTACTTCTCCCTTTCTCTCCCTCTCTCTCTCTAGTCTCTACAGTCTCTACAGTCTACAATTCTCTCTCTCTCTCTCTCTGTAAATTTCGCTTACTTGTCTACCAGCTTGCGAGTTATAACGAGGAGAGGGCATTGACTTCGAGGATTTGTTTTTGAGCAACGTTGATTCCGCCACGTGCGTTGCTGCTTTGATCAGACGGCGAGGGTTGCAGATCAATTGTTGTTGCCTTGTTGGTCTGACTTTCTTTTTATTTTGTTTTATTTTACTAATTTATTTTATTCATTTTTGGCTCAACATCATTCGAGGAATTTCACAAAGACAAAATATTAGTAGTGGTGGATTATCTCACTAAAATTAGATTAGATGTTAAATTTATTATCGAAAGAGTTCGAATTTACATTTTTATATAAGAGCTTAACTCATTTTTTTAATCGATTATATAATTCAAATTATCTAACGGGGCAAAATTCTAGTGGATGTTATGTTTCGGTGCACAGTAGAAATACTTTGAATTTCAAACTTTACGGGTTATCGGATTCAGGCGGAAATAGAAATGTGTGATAAATTTTGTTTGAAAAGTGCTTTTGGTAATTTGGCCAAAAACAGAAGTAAAAGACTGCAGTTTGGGCCCTTGTTGTAAGAATTATTTGAGTATCAATGCCTTGCAGCTTAGGCCTTGTTTCGTATTGTTTTTTTTTCATTAACAATAATTTTACTTTAAAGTTAAGCAATAAAAAGTGTTTGGTAAAAATAAAATGTTATGCTTATTTTAAAAGGAAAACTAATGAAAAGAGCTTGAAAACTTTGAGTTTTAATGATAAGAACAAAATAAAGGGTAAAGTGAATAGTACCATGATTGACTTTTTAGTGTAAAAATATGATTTTTCGTTAAAGTGAACAGTACCATGAACTTTTTGTTAAAGTTCCCTATTTTAAAAGCAATGGTCTCCATATAACAGCTTTTAAAAGCATCATATAGGTTGTTTTTAGAAGCTGCTTTAATAAAAAGCTAAGTTGAGTCTTTAATGAACATTTTCAACTATTGTAATAACTTCATTAATTTTTTGAAAAAGACATGTTTAGTCTTCCACACACATTTTATCTCTTAGAGAATAAAGCGACCGCTATGGTGTTATCACTTCCACTGCTGGGACCACAACCACAACCTCTTCCACTATAACCACAACCACCATTGTCACCACCATCATTATCACCACCAGCATTATAACTGCCACGACTGCCACCACAATCACAACCGTCTCCACCACCATTATCACCACCATCATTGCCACCATCATCGCCGCCACCATTGGTGCTACAACTGCCCTACCACCAATGTTACCTCTACACCCGAACCACCACCATACCTCCGCCATTGCTGCTACCATCAACACCACTGCAACCATCAGCACCATTACCACCACTGTTGTCGTTGCCCCCACTCCTACTACTATGTCCATTTTGTCATTATATACAATTATATCATTTTTTTTTTCATTAAAATTTACCAAGCGCTTTCACACTACTTTTCAAACTCACAACATGTTTCAAATACAGTTAACCAAACGCTTATCTGTGTTTACTTCACAGGTGATTATTCATAAAGTATAGCAGAAGCAGTTTTTTTTAAATGCAGAATGATCTCAAATTGTCCCTTAGTCACTTAACTATCGGGGTAATGATATTGAAGTTATTTGATATTCATGTGATAATGCAGCTTTAATTACGACCAGAGTAATAAAGTTTTGTTGTTGTGATTTCAAAATATATCTTACACTTGGTAGTCCTCGTAATACCGGAAAAGGGAATGATTTTTACTCGTATGGAGGGGAAAATAACAGTGACTAGTTTTAGACCCGTGCTTATTACTTGCTTATAAAGGAAAGTCTTTCCATTAAAAAATAAATAAATAAATAAATAAAAACAAACAAACTTCAAGAGCCAAATGTACAAGTGCACTTAAGTTCAAGAGCCAAATGTACCTTTCACCTAAATATATGGCTTGGGGCAAACTCAAGTTAACCATTTTATTAGGGACAGTTTAAACGTGATATTTTATCATTAGTACGTAACATCACAAAGACGTTGTACTTGTTTCACCGAAGTCATCCTACACTTGAGATGCTCGTGACAGTACCTCACTCCTATATAAAAATGTAAAAGCAACTGACAGTTAGTGGTTAACCTAGGACACTGCAATCATGACATTCTAATTACAAGTAGGTTCATACTAGATACAAGTAAATTTTGTCTTTTTAACTAGAGGAACGTTTGTCTATATCACACCATTCTAATTGTAAAAGTAACATTTTGTGTGTAGTAAGTACGTTTTAGGTGGAGGTAACTTTCTTTGCTTTTATTGAGGGAACCTCTGTATATACCCAAGATAGTACACAGTGACATCTATCTGACACCCTTAAGAACAGAGTAAAGGGTTGATCATGGCCATGCATTGTTGCTTTCATGAGTCCTTCAAAGTCCCAATATCACACGCCAACATTCAAACACAGACAAGGTGCAGGCACAGCACCATTGCTTGCCTGCTAGCCTGCTAGGGTTGGCACAAGAAGGCCAAGCACTACTTTCAATGGAAATTACCAGGTGGTCCTTGAACCACCATTCACAAAGATTTTCAAAGCTGATAACAAAAAAAAAAAAAAAAACCAAAAAAAGTGATTTCCGCACGCCTTCTTTCTTGTACACTCTTGTTTATTTTTAGCCTTTGTATCAAATAGGTCGAAGGCGAAGTGAGAGAGATAAATTGTACGAATAGGAGAAAAAAGGTGTGCAGATATAAGTTTCCATAAAATCATAACTTATCTCCAATTACTTCGTGTCTACATGGCTGAAGCGAGCGTTTTGGGGACTCCCTAACAATCATCTCGTTCCTCAACCGCTCAACGTCGTCCCATCTTTCTGCTTCTGCATAGATGTTTGACAACAAAACATAATCTGCATCCCTTAGAGGCTCCAATTTCGCAAGCTGCCGGAAGCTTTGTTCCGCCAATTCTACGTTTCCATCCCAGGTACCCTACAAGCATCCAACAAGGTCCTCCACAGCAAGGAGCTTGCGCCGCAAGGCACTGTTTTGATCATGTGACTGAAATACTGGCGTCCTTCTTCCACCAAACACTTGTGGCTTCAAGCAATGATAACGCCGATGAGTGCCATCCGATTGGGCCTAACTTCACCATGCTGCGTTTCCGTAGTTTCAAACAATTCCAGAGCCTCGTTGGTCGTTGCAGTAACCATGGACAGCCAAACCCATAATCATCGAGTTCCAGCAGCCAACGGGTTTCATTTTCAGCTCACTAAACACTTCCCAAGCTGAACTCAATTTTCCACATTTCGAATACGTATCTACATGGGCAACCCCTCAAATACCTCCAATCTTATGGTGCTTCAAGGACTCGTGAATCTTCCTTCCAATCTCCAGTGCACCGGTTTCAGCACAAGCACCCAATATCGATATGATCGTTACTTCAGTAGCTTCCAGCTCAGCAACTTGCATTTCACGGAAGAGATTCAATGCTCCATCATTGAATTTCCCCCAACTTCAAAACCCGGCAATGAATTTCCCCGCCCTTTCGATCCACACCAAATCCGTACGATTTCTCACCATCTTCCATCTGCTCCATTACTCTGGCCCAAGCTTTGAGCGCAAAATTGAAGGTGAAATGATCCGACCCACCACCCATCTCCTGCATATGGTTGAAAATGTGTGTAGCACTGACGGGAAAGACATTGTTGCTGTAGACTCTGATCATGATGTTACAGACGAAAGGGTCGTCCCCGGCGGTCTCTTCGAGGGCGTGCGCGAGGCAGCCCAGCGGAGACAGCGACGCAAATGCGACGAGCTTTCCGAAGATGGGTTGGTGAGAGAAGAAGAGACCCGCCTTCGTGAGGAGAGCTTGGGCGGATCCGACTTGCGCCATGGAAGAGAAATGCGGAAGTTGCAGAAGCTTGGAGTGGTGCGTGGGAGACGGCGAGGTTCACACCCAGCGTCTTCCATTCCGCAGGCTCTGTGCTCTCGACAGCCGATATCGGTTCAATATCTATTGGAGTATAGTTCCGTTGTGACCATTTTACCCTTTATCCAGCAAAATAATTTGGCTCGCATTTCATCACCTACAAATGTAAATACTCAAAATGTTTTGGGTAAAAGAGGAAGGGTAACGTTTGTTAAGAGAAAATTGTCCAAAAACCATGTATTTTTCCTTTACAATAAGGTCACCTCCTACACAATGTGAACAATCCTCAATTTTTTTTTCTATTCTTTTCTCGTCAAGGCACTATTTGAATTCGTGTTCTCTCGTCGTTTGCACATTATGTCATCGTTTTTCGAGTGATTAATCACGAATTTGCTAAACTTCTATCGACGATCGTGTGATTGCGTTCCTGCAGTAGGAACGAAAAGATGGTTTCCAAAAAATTTTGCCTGCTCATTGTGAGCTCTTGGTCCTCTTGGCATTGAACAGTTGCCTAAGGAAAGCGAACTTCCCTCTTGTCCGGACAGAGAATTCAGTCACTGTACCGTTACTCGCTGCTGCTTCTTTCGTGTCAGTGTCTGGTATAGGCGGTGAGGGTGGTGAGAGCTTGAAGAGGAATGAGTTGAGCATGCGGATGATCTGGCTGAACGTAGGCCTTAGATTAGGGTCTTCAACCCAACATGACTGGATGATAAATGCAAGATCAGGGGATACGTCCTCCGAAAGTAGAGGCCTCGCGTGCTGCATTCTCAGATGACAACAAATAAAGAGTAAGCAACATTAAAAGAATATTGGTTTCAAAAGAAATAACAGACCGCACAGTATGACTGATAGCATTAACAGAAATAACAGACCGAATTGTTATACCTTGAAAGCAGCAGCATAAGCAGCCTGCAAATTGGACATGCCTTCGAAGGGCATGCGGTTAGTCAATAATTCCCATAAGACAATCCCAAAGCTATATACATCAACCTTGTTATTGTAATGCTTCTTCTCTCCCTGGCGTAGAGTAACCGTGCTATACAGCTGCAAATGCTAACAGTCGGTCACAGAGAAGTAACAATTTTGCAGGAACAGTTGGATACATTATTTCAACTAGATCAATACAACTTTTAAGAAGATTCAGAAACAAAAACCAACCAAAAAGACCCAAACGGCACTACAGAGCTAAATCATCAGTGCATAACATAAAAGATAGGCAGCCAGTTAGTTTTTTAACAATTTGTTAAATGATACTTAGGATTCGTAGTAACCAGTTCGACAAACTCTAAATCGTCCCCTCCAAACCTAATTAAAAAAAGAAACCACGCACACCGAAATTAGAATCCATATATAACAGTTAAACATCTGCATCAAGTCATTATCAATGTCTATATTTGTGCTTGTAGGAAGTTCCCTCCAAACCCAAAAATCAGCCCCAACAACCAAGAGTAGTCATGGACAAATCAATGTTAAAAATTATTCTGGCAATATTCGTATTTCAAATGAAGCACCACCAATCCTATCTATCATAGATACAGAATTGAAATGCACCTATAAATACGTTCAGAAGGCAGAACGAGAGTAATAACTTATCGTTCTGCATTCTACTCAAATAACCATGCAACGTTTCCAAAACAAAAAGCACTAGAACTGTCCAGTTTATTCAACCAAATAAAAGCACTTGAACCAAAGATTAAAAAGGAATACAAAACAAACAAGATAAACATGTAGACAAACCTCAGGAGCCATCCAGCGGTAAGTCCCAGTTTCTGCCGTCATCATCTCTGTAACACTTTCTTCTCTTGCAAGACCAAAATCTGCAAGCTTTACATGTTTCTGATTTGCTGTAAGCAACAAATTATCTGCAACAAGACATGTATTGTTAAAAACCATAAAAAGGGAATTGTTATTGGCACTCCAAATTCTTCATTCTACACTTCAAACTTTCTATATTTAGAAAGAAAAATACACTTGTGAGAAGTGTAGAATAAGATTTTTGGAGTGCCAATAACATTTCCCCCATAAAAATAGTCATACTAATTAAGCCACATAAAAATGCTTTATGTGATACAGAAAACGATGAAAACTTACTAATTTCAAGAGTAAAGATACTATTGAAAAAACAGCAGCACATTTCCCAGCTAAAAATTACTTTTAGCACAAGCACTGCTGCAATTTCGTCGAACTTATTTAACAGAACTATGAACAGAAAGAGACACACTAAGTGCACAATGTTTCCTTTATAAGTATTGGATTCTTTATTTCATTTTATATATTTAAAAAAATGTCTGTCAACTGAAAAAGTATTAACAAGCCGATTGTTCCACTATCATTATCCAGCAATAGAAAATACAGAAGTGAAGCACAGCTCAAACTAGCAATATGGTACCAGGTTTTAGATCTCTATGTATGATCCCATTGGCATGTAAACATTCCATAGCATGAGCGATGTCAAGAGCAAATTTAATGGCCACATGGAGCTCTAATGGATTTGGACGAATACTCATCAGGTACTTCCTAAGTGACATCCCAGGTAATAGCTCAGTAACTATCACCATTAGTGGCTCCTTACAAGCTCCAATGAACTGTATAGACAGTAGAATAAAATTAAGAATTCCACTGAAACCAACATGAAAGCCAACGGCCTGCACCCGTTTGAGCATCCATGAACTAAAGAGGACATGTTTAATCACGGCACTTACCTTAACAAGATTTTCATGTTTTACTCGCGACATCATATTAACTTCACGGGCAAAACGACCCTCAAGCGCAGCTCTTTCTTCCGTAGTGCTACCACGATGGAGGACTTTGACAGCCACAATTTGATTTCCGTACCTGAAAAATCATTAGACTACATGTACATAGCTAGTACACTTGAAAACACACAGATCACTCATAAACATTCCGTGCAATAACACAATGGCACAACCTAATTCATCCGATGACACCAAAATCAGTAACTCTCACAAATTTACAAACAAAAACATTTCAGCTAATAATCAAGACTTGCATTCATCCAAACATTTGAGCATAAGAGCTGACTGAAAAGGAATTGAGACTGACCTTCCTTCATAAACCTTCCCATGCGCTCCCTCACCAATTTTTGCCCCGACAAACAACAATTTCGGGTCCACCAGCAAATTGTCGTCGATTGTCAGCTGCTGGGCAGCAATCAAACCATTCTGCGTGCCTGATTTAGGCTCGACACCCTCCACAGAGTTCCTCAAAACCGCTTGCTCACGCTCCCTCTCTTCCCTTCCGCCGCTCCTCACTCTGCAACTCATGCTGCAACCCTCAAATAATTCCAGAATTCCCCATTCCAACCATCTTTTCCACCTTAATCACAAAATCCACATCATCCCAAATCAATACTCCGACCCTTCATCAAGTTTCACTCAACACTTTCTCCAATTTTCACAAAAACAACATCACAAAAAACCCCAATTTCTCCAAAGATTGAAACTTTCTTATCCAAACTAAACATTCAGAGCAGATTCTAACCCCACTACTACCAGTAACTCCACGAATTAATACCACAAAAAGGAAAGTAAAAAGGGAAAAAAAATTGGTGGAAAGAAAAAGCAGTCAATTTTTTATTTTCCCAAAAAAAAAATGGCGAAAATTCAAACTTGTAAAAACACCTTTGCTTGAGGTGGAAGAATCGTCGGTTTATAAAAGGAATTTTACTGCATAGAAAAACCAGATAAACGGGCAAAAGGCAACTTACAGTCGACGCTAAATTTTCCCGAGAAAATTCATCCGAGAGAAAGAAAATTCCAATTAAAATATTAGTAATAAAGCAAAGAATCGCAACCTTTAACGTCTAAAATTTAGGTCGGAGCTTCTTTTTCTTTTTCTCTTTGAACTTCTACCCGAAAAAGGATAAAACCCTAACCCTAGAAAGCACGAGAGAGAGTCGAATCTCTGTTTTTCAAGCTTCGCTTCCCCTTCTCTCTCTAGAAAACGTGGATTTTCTCTCTCTACCCACTGAGGAGGAGAGCTCCAATGAGAGATAAAAATGTCGAGAGTGTTCCGACGAGGGTTTAAAGTTGAAAGCTTTAAATGTGAGAGGAAAAAAGAGGAAAGTGATATGGCTAATGGTAGAGGGACACGTGGAGAGCACATGTAGAAAGGTCTGCTCGTTGCGCGCGTGGCATCAGCGATTTGGACGTTCGAGAGGATGCTTAGATGGAGAGCAGCCATGTCTCGATAAATGCATCTTCTTCGGCTCGGCTCTGCTTTGGCTTCGCTTAAAAGTCGATTGATTTTCTTACATATTGTACGTGACTTAAGTCAGTTGGTCTGAAAAGTGCTCCCGTCTTCTCGTATTTGTGCTCAAATTCTTATTTTAGTAGAGTAGTTTATGATATCACTTTGTCAAAAAGAATTACAAAAAAAAAAAAAACTGCAAGAGCGTTACAACTAAAGTAGTTAAAAGCATTTGTAAGTGCATACCCTACGACGATATTAGTAAGGCGAGGGGTTGTGTAAATTCACATAGTAGGTTAGCAAAATTGTATATAAAAAACGCTATTTATGAAAATCAAACTTAAAATATTATGATATTACTTTTCATTTACAATGAAAGATAAGCCCGAACTTGCCAAATAGACCTGAATATTAGCTCTGCTCCCTTGTTATTAGTTGTATTAATAAAAATTGAAAAAAAAGTTGGGAGTTAGGATAATCTTTTTATCCGTTGCTTCTTTAAAAAAAAAATTCTTTATCATATTATTTAATAAGTGAATGAAAGGACAATTTTGAATTTTCTTGTGAAGTCAGTGGGGAGTTTTTTATGTGTGTGATTTTGACATTTCTCCAAATTTGCACTGTGTCTATTTTATTGACCAGAAAAATGTGTGTGTTTTCATTTTAAATGTCAATCTTTACACCTTGATAAGGAGAGGGTGGCCATTAGCCACCAGGGATTGTGTTGACACTTGAGTTTGTATCCAAAGTCATATTTTTGTAGTTGTTAGATAGAATTTACTTGTGTTTAAATATTACTTGGTTCACTTAATTCACCTATTCAAGTGAATATAATAAATTATGATATAGTGGATTTTATATTATGGGTCGATATTAGGTCTGATAATTTCTTGCATGACCTATTAGTCCGACATGAAATGCACGAAAATAACATGTGTTTTAGATCAATACGTTAATGAGCTGGGTTGTTATCGGATCCTCTGCTAAAAACTTGTTAACAAGTCGGATCATTATTCGGTCACCTGTTAATAATTCGATAAGATATTGTTTGCCAGATTTAACATTAAACATGGCAATTTCTCACATGACCTGTTAATCCAACACCAAACAACATGACCTGTTAGCGAATCAGTTTGTTATCAGTTTACCTGTTAAGAATCCGTTAAGATAACAAGTTTGACACGACAAAACCGGTTAGGATAACGAATATGATATGAACACGACAAACATGACTTGTTTGCCAGGTCTAGTTGATATTGAAAAACTAAGCCTTATTCAAAGGAAGAAAATTTAAAAACAAATTCTTATGTATTCCTCCTACTTACATCAATATTCGAAACTTTTGTTCCATTTTATTGATTTACAAAATTCTATATATAACAAGGGTGTTGTTATTGACACTCTACAAGACTCTTTGTAAACTTTATACTTGTTATCGATTTACGGAATTTTAGATAATTAGTGTTACATCAAAGATTATATTAACTTGGTACAATGAAATAGAAAAAATGTTTAGTCGATGAAATGATACGCAATCATTGTACAATATGAGTCTTGCGATTAGCCTTAGTTATAAAATTAACAACTAAAAAAATCATAAACAACAGGAGGTGGAGTGTCTTGGTGAATAAATGCTTGTTTGGGGAATGTTTTTAAATGATGAAAAGCGCTTTAAGAGAAAATCTTTTTGAACCAATCATTAGCAAAAAAGAGTAATGCAAGTTAGTATTAGAAGTGCACTTCAAGTGCTTACAAAACCTGAAAACAATGTTTCTAAAAGTGTTTTCAATCATTAAAAACACTTCCAAAACAAGCCATAGAGCCTTCATTGTTTTCAATCAAGTGCTTATGAAGGCTCTATGGCTTGTTTTGGAACCAAACTCCTATTAAAGAAATAAGGTTGTTCGTAATCAACAAAAAAAATTTAAAACTATCATAGTTTTGAATTGTTCACATAGGTCCATATATAAATTGAGATGTGATAACTCTACAGATGAATTCAACCTTGTTTTCTTGCACCAAAATTCGAATTTCAGTCCCAAACTCACATTTCGACTCAATATCGACTATCTTGGCACATCCTTAGTAAAACAGGAGTTTGTTTTTCAAGAAAACTCCCAAAATAACCATGGCATAAACACGGGTCAGAAAAAGAAAAGTAAGTATTTTGACATATCTTTTGGTGCTAGACGATAGCATATGCGACGGCGCAGTTGCCAATTTATACCACCATCACCGTGACAGTGTGGGGACTGTGCACCGGGAGAGGACTTTTCCAATGTTTTGTGACAAAGAAGCGTTGAATTTTGGGGCGTGGGAGAAATATTTTAATGTTCAAATTTGCACATGCCAAAATTCTAGTGGCTTGTAATACATTATGAAAATAAAATAACAGTTTAAATGAATTTCAGTAATGTCTTTTTCCAATTAATTAATCACACGTGGGAGTGACTTGAATTTTTGTATGGCCTCCTGCATGGGCCACGACTTTGACTTGGAGGATTTGAGGATGTGGAGAGAGTTTGGGCCACCGTGCAGTGGAAAAATTAGAATTTACACCTTGGTAGTGAAAGGGTAGCAATTTAGCCGAAAATTGAAATTTTTGTTGAGTGTTTATTAAAAGACAGGATTAAAATATAGAAAAATTAATGAAAATAATTTGAAAATTTTGAGTTTTAACGATAAGGACAAAATAAAGGGTACAGTAAATAGTACAAGGATTAACTTTTTAGAGTGAAAATATGATTTTTTGTTAAAATGAACAGTACCAGATACTTTTCGTTAAAGTTCCCTTAAAATATAGAAATAACATCATCCGTTCTAATAACTAAAGAGTAATGCTAGGTAGATCAATTTTTTAAAACCAAATTTGCAAACTAAATGATGTGGTTGTAGATGATTGAATTATTAATTAAATGTCGATTACCGTGCTTGTTTCTTATTGGTGACACATCATTTGGTTTAAAAAATTTGATTTTCCTAGCATTACTCATAGCTAAATAGATTCATACTTTCCAGATCTTTTTACGATTTCCAAGTTCCAATGGAATGAACACATCATTCTCTCCCATTCATACTTAGGGCTGGTTTGGTATTGCTGTGCTTTGAAAAAAAAACTGCTTCTACTGTGCTGTGAGAATAAGCAGCTGTGAAATAAAGCAGCAGAGTGTTTGATAAACTTTTTTGTAAAAGTGCTTTTGAAAAAAAAAAAAAAGCAATATTATAGTGTTTGATAAACTTTTATGTAAAACAGTTGTGAAAAAAAGCTGGTTTTTCAAAGTTGGGTTTTGCAGCTTTGTGTTTTTGGCTTTTTTTCACCCAAAACTATGAAAAAAAATTGAAGCTGAATGTTTACCAAATATAAAAAAGCTCCTAACTTTTTTTGATAGCCGTTTTTTTCAAAATCACATTAGTACCAAACTAGGGCTTACTTCTACATCCCACTTCCCAAGTTAAATCCCAACCTTCTTTCCTTTTGAGTTTTATTGAATAAATAGTCTTTGTGGTGATAAGACATTTGAAAAATATCTCATGTGCTAAAAAATTAGGATATAAACTCTCGTAGTGTAATTTGTCAACAAATTTAGTCAAAAATGATATTTCTGTTAAATCTTCGCTAAACACAGGCGTAAAAGCATACTTTCATGTGTGCACCTTATTCTTCCTCATCTCTATTCTCTCTCTGTAATTTGTATTTTCACTCTCTTTTCTCTGGTGATGACATGAAACAGGGAATCTCAGCCGCACTTCAATTTATCTTTTTACTATCTCTCTCTTATTAAAAATACTAAAACAATTTATAAATTTCTTGCCTTTGTTTCTTGGTTCGCTAGAAAACGAAGAGAGCCTAATGGCAGCAATTGCGCAAGTGGTTATAGTGATTTGTACTGTTTCTTTTTCCATCAGAAGCTACTCGTTCATGATACTAAAAAAGGTTGGGAATTTCGGGGGAAAAATAGTATAGCCACTTTTGCGTTTTTGAGGTCTACTAATTTGGTTTGGATGGAAAACTCACAAAAATGGTTGGACAAAGAGAGAAATGCATGAAGAAGGTGAACATTCAATACAGACATAAGGAAGAGAGATGGAGAGAGAAGGTGAAAACAAAAGAAGGATTGAGATAAAAGTACGAGCTTGACCCCACATTTAACATTAAATCACTATTGCATTAAATTTGATGATGGACTACACCATGATGATTTACATTATAAATTTTTTAATGTTTTAACGAAAAGTTCGCGGTACTGTTCATTTTAACGAAAAACTATATTTTTACACTAAAAAGTCAAACCTGGTACTATTCATTTTACCATTTATTTTGTTTTTATCGTTAAAACTCAAAGTTTTCAAGTCATTTTCATTAGTTTTCCTTAAATTTTTTACCATGGCGGCTATCTTTTGAATCTCTACTAATTAATAAAACACTCATTGTCAATAAAAATCCTATAAAATTACCAGTTTAACCCTCTAATTAAAACATAACATGAATAAGAAATATGAGGCATAAATGTAATTTCACACAACCAAATTTTACTGTTTTTTTTTCTTTCAAAGACTCACCTACATGTAATCCTAACATATCTCTAATTAAAAAAAAAAAAAAAAAATCCCACTCTCACATTCTCTATCACTCTCTTCCTCTCTCCTTCTATATCAAAAACAAAAATAAAAAATTTTCTCACGCACTTTGTGTGAGCCCATATGCTAGTACCTTATTACCACGAGACCATTTATCCAATTAAGTCTTTCTGCTATTAAACTAATTAACTACTCTTCAAAAATGTTATTCATATCGTCTATGTACTCTCTTTAATAAAGATGAGACTCACATGTGTTAGTAAATTTTAATTCTATTAAAAAATGATTCAAATGATAGAACAAATAGATAGTAAGTAGCACTACACATCACTCTTGCATGAACATTCGAATTATTCCATGTGGTTAATGAAAAATGCCACGTTTTGGAGCCAATAATATTCCAATTCAGCTATGAAGGTACATCTTGTGGACGACGTACTGGCAACAATCTTTCACACTGTACATGCCTACTTTTGATGTGATCATCTAGAGTGCGAAAAACGTGATCGTTGTTTATTAGCCAACGAGTCAAAATAATATCGACATTGCTGGGCCACTGAAACCCTCATTGTTATCTTTTGATTTGTATATCCATGTCTCGTATGGGTAGCCATCTAACGTTGCATGAATCAATCATATTTTGGACCCACGTCGCTGTGATGCATATGCCATGTCATCCACAATACAAGTGGTGTGTCTAGTGGCAGATTATATATCCTCACATACCACGGTGGTCTCTGAACATTGATAAATATGGAGTCCACAGCAATTTTTATAGTATAAATATATTGTTTTAGTAGCGTTTTGTGTTTTGTGACAAAAAAAAAAAAAAAAAAAATTGTATATGAGATTGTATTATTGATATGGAAAGTCACTACGACAATAAACTTGTGCTACAAAAGCATTTCTTCTAAGAATATAATAATATGACATAGTCTAAGTAAAGTTTTTTTTGTTTTTTGACAATAAACGATAGCATAGTCTTTCATTAATCAACACCAAATAATTACAGAATGTCATTAGGTACATAATTTTAATGACCAATAAATTGATCAGGAATGAATTTACACAAAACAGACAAATAACAGTAAACCCCTAGTAGACACCCACAAGCACAACCACACAATCACCAAGCGCATAAGAACTACCAGTACAAATCTGTCACAATAAACAATAGCGCAACAGAGAGATACTGGCAGACATAACGGTCATCGTTGAATAGTGAGGCCATAAAAAGTCATCGCGAAAGTGCGAAACCACGTCAAAGTCATCGTTAGTAGACAAGACTCACAATACACAACGCACAAAGGTGAAGACCAAATTAGCCAAAACACCAGTGCTACCATGGTGCACAAGGGCGAGAGGAACTACATTACACCAAGAAGGGATCTGATGTACAACTCATAACAGGGGGAATGAGGCACTCTTGCCAAGGCCACCTACAAATTCCGAACAATGGGACACAGGCGTCCACGCACAAGCCGAGCCGAGCCGCAATGAGATGTACATGCCAAGCTCCCAGACCAAGCCGATCCTCCAGAACTGAGAGCACCGAAGCTATCGAGGAGGGTAACACCACTAAGGAATCGAGTTGACGAAGGGGGGTCTAACCCACTTGTAGCACAGATCTAAACCCCACACCAGGAAAGCGAGCGCTAAATCGAAGAAAATCTTGAAAGGGCATGGCCTGAGTCGAGTTATAGGGCATAGATCCATGGATATCTGCACACAAAATGATGGGAGAGAAGCAAGGGAGGGGAGAGGAGGATGGGAAAGGTCGGGAATGAGGGGTCAGCGTGAGGAGGTGGGAAGAAAACGAGAATGGCGAGGGGTGGATGATGGCTGAGACGGGGAAGAGGAGGGAAAAGGAAAAAAGGAAGAGCTAGAAAAGGGAGGGGACAGACTGCCACCTGTAACGACCCGAAACTTCTAATTCGGAAGCTAATTACTAAGATAGGCCCTAAATTCATTTTCTTAGTAAATTTCACTAAAAGATTAACCTCAGGTATTTTATTATGGCTGCATCTAACCTTCTCGTTAGACTGCCTACGTACCTTACTAAAGGATCAAGCCATTCATAGTTCACATTACACTTCTAGAACAACATACTAAAATTTAATTTCGATCCAACGGTCGGATCTCCACTAATCACAACATTCGAGTGGCGGTTGACGTTTTAATTTACCAACTTGAAAATCCAATTCAGGAAGATCCGTAAGTCGGATTCTCAATCTGTAAGTTCCTAAGGTCCTCAAATATTATGTACTATAATGTCTCAAAGTTCGGTGCAGATCCAACGGTTGAATGGTCGTCAATTACGACAAATCGTACGACGGTACAATTATCCGAAAAATTTGAATATTCGAATCATTGCATCAAATTTCAACAAACGGACTTTGGATATGGGTTCAAAATCCATGTAAACAGATTCTCCCCCACTCGGTGCCGTGCGTGGTGGTTTCTGGCAACCGGAAACCCACTTTTTCGTCTAACTCCAAATTCTACCAAAATTTACAAGAAGATAGAGCTCAACAAGAGGAACAAGTTTTATACCTGCCACAAAGTCCAAAAGTGGACGGAAGAGGGTCAATTCCGTTGAGAAAACCGGTGGGTGCCTAAAGCTTCCTGGTGTCGATTTGTTGCCCACGGTGGTCCAACGGGATCAAAGCTGGTTGGGATTTACTCTTGGGATGATGGGCTACCAAACACAAGTGGTAGCATCGGCCATCGCTTTTCCGATTCACCGAAAAAATCAAAAGGGTGGCCGGAGCACCATTGGTTTTCATCAGTTTTTATGGCCTCTCACCGCCACATACGGTGGCTAATTAAGGTGGTTCTTTGGTTGGATTTTGTAGAGGGGAGTGAGAGCTTCAACATGGTGGTGGTGGTGTTGTAAAATTCCACCTGAGTTGGCCGAAATCGACCTTGAAAATGGGAGGTCGTGGGAGGTCAAATGAGGGTTTTTCTAGGTCATTTGGGCCTCCTCACCAGGTTTCCCGAAGTGGAAACCTTCTAATTTCAGGCTGACTAATTATAGGCTCCCTACAAATAGTAAGTCCACATGTCTAAAAAGTCTCACTACTTCCGTGGCTCGTAATTTCTCCGTTCTAACTCAGAATTAGGATCTGTTTGCTCCTATGCACTCGTAGAGTCATCCTCTATTCAAATATATTTAGAAATACGATAAAGTATATGAAGATAAAATACATCCTCATCAAAATTACGTTTAGTCAACAAGAGACATTTTCTTCTTTTCACTTTCCGATAATTTTTTTCCATATAATCATATATTTTAAAATTTTCAGGGTATTAGGCCCCCAACCATAGCTAGAGGCTGGCGGCGAAGGGGTTGATGGCTAGGGTTTGGTTGAAAGAGGGAGAGAGCTTTGTGTGGGCCTTAAATCCTAAAAGGATAATGCTAGGGAGACTAAAATTTTAAACCAAACTTGCAAACCCAATGATCTGTCAGTAATAAGAAATAAGTACGTTACTTAACACTTGAATAATAATCCAAGAATAATCCAATTATCCACAACCATAATACTTGATTGAAAATTTGTATCTCCTAGCATTACCCAAACTAAAAACCAACAAAATTTTCCTCCTTACCCATGTGGGCCTCAGACAAACAACCAACCTTTTTTTGCCTTTTTCCTTTTCTTTTTATCCCTTTTCTTCTTTCTTTCCTCCTGTGGATTTCTTCCATTCGCACAAAACAAATTGCAGCAAACAAAACAACTCATGTGCAAGGCCAAATTGCAGAAGGCGACTTCATACGGTTTCGACAAATCTGACTAGTAGAAGTGGGTGCGAGTATGTTGAGAGTAGAGCAGGTTGGTGCAGGCAGCAGCAAACGGAATTGCAAGTGATGGGGGCAAAACGCGCAACGGCCCCTTAAGAGATTCAAGAATAAAAAGTTTTTAAGGTGTACAATGTTTTGGTGGGAGACAAGTAATGTGGTACAATTTAGTGCAAGTGGTATTTATAGTAGCGCTGACTGCTGAGACGAAGATAACGTGTGGAGCTGTACTCTAAACGGGGAAGAAAAACTGATTTTAGGCTCAGCCGCATGAGGAGATTGATCTTTCAGGATTTCTTCAAGCGGCAAGAATTGGTTTTTGCTCACTAGCCTTACGTTAAATATGTATTGAATGTGGATCCAAACTCCCATCAACGAGTACTCATCATTCACCATAAAACGAGGAATCTAAAGACAACGCACGTTACGTGAATCTTAAAGATTAAATTGTAAATTGTATATCTTAGCATAATTCTAAGACACGCCACGAATTAAGGAGTTGATGCTAGAAGTTTGATCACTAGTTAAATCTTTAATCCGCCTAGATTGATCGACTTTGTATTTATAAATTGTTGTGATCAGTTAGCATCAACTAGAAATTAGAACTTATATATATTAGTTGGCGGCCAAGTCATCATGCTCATAGCAAATTATATGGACCATCTTGTCAAAGTAATATAATTTCAAGGTCACAAGAGGCAAGCGAGTCCATCTTGTCAATCTGGAAGAGAAACATATATTGACAATCTGAATTTGGTGGGTGTAATGGTGTTAACCTTACGCATTAGGCATTAGTTACATATGATTTATTCCCTGATCTTGATTAGTTCAGTTATCAATAAGACCTAATTAATTATAGCTGGACATGGACCTTTTCTTCTTGTACTTGGCTTTAAAGAAAGCTCTTCTCAGCCTCTTTGTGTTCTCTTCGAGTTGCAAATCCGGAAATTCCTCCATCAGCTGCCTCTCCCTCTCCAACAATTCCACCTCTCCATTCAGCTGACCATCTCCTACCTCCTGCATAATCCACATACACATCTCATTATATCAACGTATAACCATGCCAAAAAAAATTGATCCACATCCACATGCATGGTAAAAAGTAAGCATGCATGGTAACAAAGTTGTAAGTGTAGTAAAGAATTAATTATAGGAGAAGTTAGAGACATGCATGAATGTTTCTTGCTAGGGTTTGAAGGCTGGCCAATTTGCGATAGGGCCAACGAGGAATGCCCAACTCCCGACACCTTTTCTTCAAAACCGTTTGGCTGACATTCATTTCCTGGGCTGCCTCAGATACGGGCATGTAGAAGTGATGGGATATGGTTTCCTTGGACAAATCTATTGAACGGTGGCTTCTCTTCTCTTCTACTTTGCATGTAGTGTCGGACAAATCTATTGAACGGTGACTTCTCTTCTCTTCTAGTTTGCATGTAGTGTCGGACAAATCTACTGAACGGTGACTTCTCTTCTCTTCTAGTTTGCATGTAGTGTCTTCCCTCAAATCATTGGTTTTCGTTTCTTGAATATCCAGTGACGATGATGATGAGTAAAACGGATCCGAAAAGTTATATTCCGGTGAAAATTTGTATTCCCAATCCAATGGAACGTAGGCGCTTCCCCTAAGATACGTTGGAAAGATAATGAAGATTAATATATACTACGTCTAAGGTTTTGTGGAAGAGGAATGCTAGCACCCTTTGAATTTTAAGGTTCTCGTTCTCTCTTCTAGGCTCTTTTTCTCATATGTTGTACGATGGTTTAAACAGTCTATTTTCTAGGTTGCTCTTTAAAGAACAACTCTGTCAAAAATCAATTAAATCCAAAATCGTTTAGTCATCTAACGGTTAAACGGATTATGATTTTTTATTTTATTTTTCTGAGTTGATCCTTAAATTGTAATCTAGAAATTAGACGATTTTGATCATCAAGCAACATAAATACAAAATAAACAAGAGAGCCAAAAAAATAAAACGAGAAGATTCAAATAAAAAAAATTACTAGCATCTCTGTTTGTGAAATTGCAACCTTTGTGTAATCTGAGTATTAGAAGATAAAATTATACTGCCGTAATATGCTATATGTACCTCAAGTCAAGGGGCGCAAGATGACTTGCGTAGGAAAATAGGTCTCCATCGTTTTGATCTTCGGTGGACAACCAATCCATGAAACAGAATACTTTGAGGTTGGGAATGTTGTGTCTTCACTGTCGATGGTTGGACTACAAAGACCTCAAATAAACCAATTGTTGTGTCTTCACTACTGTTGAGGATGATCTCAGGGTTCTGCAGCTTAACAATTTATAGGAAAATCAATTAGTGGTAGGCTTGAAATTAAGAGTTCCTCATTAATACCTACATGTTACGTACTATACTGTATGAAGCTTCATCGAAAGATCATAAGAATAATTAGGCACAGATTTGTTTTTCTTATAGGCTTCCATGTACAGAAAAAATTATTAATTCTAAGCTTCCAATCTGCTTCCTAAATCCTAAAAACAGCCATGCATGAGTGCTGGTCAATTGGTTTTCACTTTTATAAATGGTCAAGTAAACATAGACTTTGAATACAATGCTCCATTTGGATCAGATATTTGAAGACTAAATACTAATTGCGTTTTCCCTTCTACGACTTCCTAACATTGACCAAACGATATAGGTAAGAAAGGGATATATTTATGGGTAGGCAATTACTTCCTTAAGTCTACTTTTATGTATACGCCATTTTCTACTTTTTCAAAGATAAACCACAAGTTAATTCTTAAGGCCTTCTACAATTGTGTCTAGTATTGAAATCGATTGGATAACTTTATAGAATAAATGTATTTTAAATGAAGAAGTAGATGCAACTTTCAAACTGTATTCAAGTTGAAATTAAAGAATGAACTAGTTATGAAAAAAAATATTTTTTTTTCAATGTCCATGAAAATAGTAAGATTAGAATAGAAAAAAATTTCTTCTTGACTACTAAGTAAAAAATATCACAGAGTCTTTATCTTCCATGATGCATTTTCATATTTTGATATTGTCAAATACATCTCACGTTCTAATACAAAGTGGACTCTCTAAAAAATAAGTTTCTAATCAAACTTTCCCTTATGGAGACATTCCGATACCATAGCATGAACCGAAATGCAAAGTCTTCCTCTCGAAAACGAGCTAACATAGAACACTTGCAGGCAGAGATCTATTTCTGTAGCAGGAGGAAAGCCCTTACTAGACGGGGCAATCCAAGGCATCGGTTTACAGATGAAGTTCTAGCACATCTGTGAGTGAAAAAAGAACACATAGATCTTAAAAAATAATGTACAGAACATATTGAATGAAAGTCCATCGTGTTTGCTTCATTGAATAAAACTTATACAATGAAATTAATCAAATTACACTAGTAGACAAAAGCTCATCTATCACGGTCAATAACCGTGGTAGATTACAATCCACCACGAGCATAGTGTCCGTTTGTAATCTGGACGTGATAAAAACTCTTAGTTTTTACCACAGACAATGCCCTTTGTCAAATGCAATGTAACCACGAATTGTGCGCATGATAGATTTGAATCTAACACCATGTGCTATGGCCATTGTGAGTTACATATTGACCATAGGCCATGCCCGTTATAAGAAAATTTTCAGAAATAATACATTACTTCATAAAATTCACAGATTCAAATATTACACTAAAGCTAGCAACATAAACAATTAGTAGTAATAGTAAGAAATACCAAACCAATGAGTTATACTACAATTTTGTACCAAACATGTACAGACTTTGTTTCATACTTTAAAACAAAACTGAAGTCCTAGTTCCAAACTTGGTGCACTAATTATATTCGTCTTCTATGCATTCGTCTCTTCAAGAAGACACACATCTCCGGCAAGTCAATACACACTTCAAATTTGCAGGTGCCTGTAATGTAAATGTAGTAGTTGGTATTTGAGTTATAACCCATAATAAATTAGAATCACCAACCACCTATGAAATAAAGAAGGAAAAATATAAAGCTTAGAATCAAACTCATGTCTCAAGGACACTATAAACAGAAAAATTCAAAACCACCAAGTCAATTACTCAAAATGCAACCAATCGTAATCCAAGTAATAAAAAAATTCCAAGTATCGAATATCCCAATAATATATTCATATATCAATTAACAAGTTAATCCTATCACTCTTAAAAAAAAACAAAAAGTCTTTGATAACTTATTGTAATTGATTAGCCAGAGGACGAAAAATAAAAAAACTGAAGGAAAAAAATTCGAAGCAAAGAAAATTGCTACCAAATCCCTCCAAGAGTAGCACCGCTCCAGTTTGGTTTCTGCTCTTAGATGCCTGCAGGGAAAAAGACTATCAACCAAATATTGTACGTAGCACTTTAAAAGAAAAAATTGTAAACCCTAAATTTTGAAGAATAAATACAAAAACCTAGAGTGAATATCTAATAAATTAGGGAGCTTGAATAAAAGAATTTCAAATTTCAAAATTAAAAATTAAAAATTTTGGTTAGTTAAGAGAAATTCAGATTTCAAAATTAAAAATTTTGGTTAGTTAAGGGAGGGAGGGAGGGAGGGAGGGAGGGAGGGAGAGAGAGAGAGAGAGAGAGAGAGAGAGAGCCTTTTATAAATACCTGTAGGGAAGGAGGGAGGGAGGGAGGGAGGGAGGGGGGGAGAGAGAGAGAGAGAGAGAGAGAGAGAGAGCCTTTTATAAATACCTGTTTGGCTTCTCAGAATAACCATGAAAGGGAAGAAGATGGGGTCAATGAGAAGGAGAGGGTGAATGAAAATTTGTAGATGGCTAACTAAGAACAGCTGAGAAGTTTTAAAGTTGGCGCTGGTGGGAGAGAAATAAAAAGAAGGTAAAAAGATTGAGGAATGATTTCACTTAAATTTTGGGAAGAGTGGGAATATTGTGAAAATTTAAAGATTTGAAAATTTGGGAAAATTTCTAGTCCCACCTTCTGAAACTTTTTAAAATAGTATGTAACTGCATCACTTTTAATGTTTGTGGTAGATACAAAAATACGGTGTGGCTACTAACAATATTGACCACGGCCAATGTACAAGGTGGTTTAATACTTTTACAACGTGCTGACTAAGACCGTGGTAGTAAGTTTTTTATTATAACAGGCTACTACTTAGTTTTTTATTATAATAGGCTACTACTTGCCCATTGTAAAATATTGTTATCCACAACATGCTGACTAAGCCCGTGATAAATGTTCATTTTTTTATAACGGGCACATAGTGTCCGTGGTAAAATTGATGTGGTAAATGAAAAATTTTCTTGTAGTTAATTGAAAGCACCATTTGCATAGCAGTTCATAACTTTGCCGTTGGCTCTCTACATTTAAATGAGTTTACAAAATACATTGAATAGGAAGTTCAGTTAGTTTGATTACAGCAGATGCAGATGGATTGAATGTTGGAGTTTATGTAGTTTTAGTTGAAACTTCATGTTAGTCCCGCTTTGGTAGTGGGAAAACTTCAATTCATAATTGTTGGTCCACATTATATATGTTTGAAAATGGATGATGCCCTATCTGAGTCGGCCCATATGGTTTATACGTTGGTTTTAGGAAACGTTTAAAACATCAGTACAGTGAAAATATTGATATGCAAATTTATGAAATATCAATGGATATATCGATATCGGTTGCTTTTGATGAAAATTTAAAATGAAACTTTAGGGAATGTCAACACTAGATTAGACGAAATATAAGAGTTTCTCTGATATTTAACCGATATGTTGGAAATATTGACGGAATATGTCGATTGTAGCTGAAATTTAAGAGTTTCTCCGATATGGATCCCTTCCCTTTTCATATCTTTCTCAAACTTTTCTTATAGTTTCAAACATGTTTTAGGCTACGTGATTGACTAGGACAAAAATTTTAATCCGGAGATTAGGGCAAAATTTGAGTTTTCAGTTGGCCTTGCATTGTAATAATTTTCAAGTTTTTTCATATGCCAAAAATGCCCTCATCATATCTGTGCAAATGATAAGGATTTTTTTTTGGGTCCTACATAATCCAAAGGAACTATGAAGAAAAAAAATTATGTATTAACGTTAAATCCCGTGATTAAGGACCAAGTAATTTGATTTTTCTTTTGGTTTCTTTCCAATGCTGTAAACACCAAAAAGAAAACCAAACAAACAAATATGTGATTTCTGACCAAAGGATTAATTTGTACTGAATTCCCTACGTAAATTATCCCTGAAATATTTGTAAAACTCAGACTTCAGTAGGAGTTAGCAGCCCACTTTCTTCATCATCTATCTTCTCTAAGTTCTCTTCAATTTCGTTTTTCACTTCCACAGCCTGAGTCAGCTGCTCAGCCCTTCTTGTTTGGTGTTTCCAATCAGTGTGGAGCAATGTGTACACCATCATACCCACACAAGACAACTGTGCTGAAAGCAGCCCAAACCACAGCCCCAAAAACCCTATCTTAAACGTAAAAGTCGCAAGAATAGCAACTGGCAGTCCAATTAGGTAAAATGCCAACAAGTTTATTTTTACACCAAGCTTAGGTCTTGCAGTAGCTGTTAACACTCCACAGGAGGCCGTTTGAGGAACGTTGCCTATTTCACACAAGCCCAAAACTGGAAGTGCAGTCGAAATCAAATCAAGAATTTGTGGATCGTTCGTGAACATTGTTCCCCACATGGACCTAAAAGCAGTCATGAAAATGAACGCGGAAATCCCCCAAGCAAATGCCATGATTAGCCCAATCAGGGTGGTCCACTGGGCGCGGGTCGGTTGCCCTGCGCCCAGCGAGAGTCCTACACGCGTCGATAAGGATCCATTTAGAGAAATTGGGATTATGTATAACATTCCAGTTGTTTGCAACAAAATTCCCATTGCTGCAACACTTGCTTGTGGGTTACTCAACCAGCCACAGAAGAACAACATAAGTTCATACCACCACCACTCTAAGCAAACTGAAACACAACTGGGTAGAGACAAACTTAGCAATGGCCCCCATCCTTGAAAGGCTGAGAGCATGGTGAGCCCATGCCATGGCTTCAAAGCATGAGGTGATCTGGCTAGATAAATTACCAAACCCAAATTGAAAAGAAAAGTGTTCCAAGCAAGCCCTAAGGCAATACCTGCAACCCCAAAATCCATATATGTGACCAAAAAATAATTCATAGGTAAATGAAAGAGGGCGGAAAATGCGGCTGCTAGGGTTAATGCGGTGGTGAACCCTTGTGTTCTGAAAAAGATTCTCAATGGTAGAAGCTGAGCTTGCCCTATCAATTCAGGAATGGCAAAAACCATGTAACGTTTTGCAACCCTAGTGATTTGCGGGTCCTGCCCTAACAATATAAAGATGGGCTCCATGTTGAGCCACAAGAGTGAGATGGGGATGGCAACAAGGAGGAGGAGGCAAAGGGTTTTCTGAAAAGCTTGACTGATAACTGACCATCTTTGAGCTCCATAAGCTTGGCTACAAATGGGGTCCATCCCCGTCGATAGACCTCTGAGGAGTGAGTAACCTGTAATATTTGAAAACCCTAGAGCCAATGAGCCTCCAGCCAATTCTGTTTTCCCAAGACGGCCCAAGAATAGCATTGAAACAAGAGACCTTGAGTATATAAGCATGGATGTTATCACTATAGGGCCTGCAATCTTTACCAACGATCTCAACTCTTCTCCTATCTACATGGATTCACAAAAGGAACGCGAAGTATTAGAAAATGGAATTTAATTTTTCTGCAAAGAAAGAAATTACCACAAGGAGCCCCGTCTACAACCTCCAATCATAAACTGTCGAGGTGGAAACCAGAACTGTTAGGCAAAGAGTGGATCGAAACTTTTTCACATAATTGAGAACGATTTAGACAAATTGCATAAGTAACAAAATTAACTTCCCTAAACACATACGAAAGCTTAATTTGCTGAAAGAAAGGAAATTTTACAGAGAAATTACTTTAAAATATAACACGTGGAAAATAGAAATATAAAGTCACTAGCTTAAAATGTATTTTTTTGGACCTTTCGTAGATTGTAAGAGTTGCAAGTTGCCAGAAGGCATAGTTGGTGAGGCATCGAACAAAAACCTAAGGGCATCGGCTCTCTTAAAAATGTAGCCAATGAAAAATATTGTCAACGTACGTCTAAAGAATCTAAAGCTGCCATAAAATGATTATGTTTAGTGCAGAGTAATTTAGGTTTATCACCTATAGTAAGTATACTTTACTATTATCTAATTTGAAATCGATGTTTAATATATTGTTGATATATTCACAAATTATAGAACTTTACTATTATCTAATTTGAAATCGATGTTTAATATATTGTTGATGTATTCACAAATTATAGAATCTGTCAGACATGTGAGTGAATAGAAAAAATGGTCCAAAACATACATTATTAACCAATACCTGAACATGCGGTTATGATTAGGGAAGTATATATGTGGTTCTGAATTATTCTTAACTGGTCAGCTTACGTGTTACTAGACAAGCATTGTGGCATTCAATTGGGAAGCTTTTAGTGTGACCACGAACCTTTACGTGGAATAACCAATCCATCATTATATTGTTCAACCGTGCTATAACTTATGAATTGATAACTTTATGTAACTGTATGAGTGTCACATTGAAAATTTTCTCATCTTAATTAGACATTTCACTCGTATGAGTGTGGGGGCTGTGGTGCCACATGTGAGTGTGTATGGGATAGCTCGTAAAACATATGGTGTAGAGGTCCGTGAGCCAATCTCAGAATTGTTTGTTCCAAAGAATTACAACAAGCAGTTTGGATTGCACTTAAAAGAATAAAAAACATAACTTGAACGATAGAGCTTAAGCTTCAACATCTAGATTTCTAAACAAAAACCTAACAGTCTATATGTGTAATGACGTGAAACACATATAACTGTTAGACTTAACTAGTGAGTTGTCCAGTGTAATGCTTGAAAAAATTTATACCATTCAGCACAAAACTAATGGCTGGTGACATCATAAATATTATCCACAAATTTTCACATTTCCGATGTGAGACATGACGTCGAGTATGTGAGAGCGAGAAGTAGAGGGAATGAGAGGTTGTAGGCTGCATACCTCAGTAAGCGGCAGCTCTCGCGGAAGTACTCCATCGGAGGGAAGGTAGGGGAGGCGTTGAAGAAAGCTCCGTATGAAAGTAGTAGTAGTGGTAGTGATTGTGGTGGTGGTGGCGCCGCCTTCGTCGCCTCTAGCTCTCATTGCCAAGTCTTCTTCATTACGATCTCCAGCTCCATGATGCTTTAGAATCAGAAGGTCATGAGCACCACCACCATTTATAATTCCTCGAGATTCAGTACCAGGCAGGCACATGTTTATCCGAAGGGATACAGAAAAAAAATCCTATAAAAGTACAACCACGGACCGGTTTCAGAGACGGATTTGTCCAATGGGGTCCGATATGCACGCTTTTATATTAAACAAAAACTCCTCCAAAAAAAATTAACAAAATCAAAGTACTTCAAGACCCAATTTCTACTACTTGCATGCGTTTTAGTTTTTTCCCTTGTTACAGAGGAGAGTTTCGAAACCTGTATTTTCACACTAGTATTTATTTTTAAAGTGCGCCCCAAAGTTTTGCCTAAAAAAATGATATATCATTACAATAACAAACCTTGTATTTGATTTCAAAACCCCAAATTAAGCTGCAGCTTGCTGGGCTGTCTGTCACTTTTTTTCCTAGCTACTACTTGATGAGCTCCTTGGCCATGGCATTGGACTTACTATTATTGCAGAGAAGATGGAAGAGGAGGGAAGAAATGGTGCATTGAAACATGGAAGGAAAGCGTATATGTATGTGTATATATATACTGTGATTAACTGGACCAGAAAAAAACAATGTGACTAATGAAAATTATTGTTGTGAAGCATGCGCGTCACTAAGTCTATGTCCACCAAAATTTTGGCATTTTCCAAGAAAATCTGTTGTCTACATTATGTTATGTCAGTAATTTTAAAAAATACTTAATTGGCTAGCACAGCAGAGAGTGATCATCAATCTAAAATAGTTTATTCTTTATTTTTCAAGCCAAAGAAAATGTGCAGGAAAATTCTGCGGTATACTTGGACTGACTGAATAACTATAAATTATAAATTTATTCCTTTTGTATACTTGCAGCTCAGTTTACCTTAATTATGTTGTTACACATACAATTATGTCGTTCTGTGTTCGATTATCTATCTTAAGTGATTAAAATTATTTATCTTGGTGTTCGATAAAATTATGTGTTTGATCTCCCCTCCCTCAACACACTTGTGTGTATGTAGTATGTACAAACATACAAGTAGGGTTAATTATTTGAGTACAAGAGAATAGCAATAATGAATGGGGATTTCAGTTTGGGGCTGAGCCAAATGCCAGCTATTTCCTGGTTTATGAACCTCAGAATATAGCTTGTGTACGTGCCTAGTATCTATTAGATTAAGGCCTGGTTTGGTACTGAGGTGATTCTGAAAAAAACTGGTATCAAAAAAAGCTGGGAGCTGTTTTTGTGTTTGGTAAACATTCAGCTTCAGCTTTTTTTCACAGTTTTGGGTGAAAAAAAGCCAAAAACAAGAAGCTGCAAAACCCAGCTTTGAAAAATCGGTTTTTTTTCACATCTGTTTTACATAAAAGTTTACCAAACACTATAATACTGCTTTGGTTTTTTTCAAAAGCACTTTTACAAAAGAGTTTACCAAACACTTTGCTGCTTATTCTCACAGCACATTAAAAGCAGTTTTTTTTCAAAGCACAACAATATCAAACCAGCCCTAAGAAGGGTAATACTAAGGAGATTAACTATTTAGACTAAATTTTGTAAATGATATGACGTGATTATTGATGATTGGATTAATACTGAAGTATTGATTAACGTGCTTACTTCCTATTCGTGACCCATGACATATTTACAAATTTAATCTAAAAAAATGATTTGTCTAACATTACTTGATTAATAATGTATAAGAATTAGCTGAACTTAGAACTAGAAGTTAGAATTTATCAACGAACAAATATTGACTGGATATTTGTAAGGGATATGTGTTGAGTTGTATTCTTATCATGACTCATAGATTATTATCTTGTTTATATTGTAGACTTGTATTAGTCCTATATCTCAAATAATAAAATCTTGTAATTCGTTCATAACTTTAATATCTCTTGTATTATGAAAGTCTGGTAATACAATCATAAGTTTTATTAGAATCATAAACTTCATGATATCATGAGGTGTTGTGCTCAACATTACTGTTAATGTCAGGACCACAAAACTTGGTTCACTCACTTAGGCCTTGTTTGATATGTAAGATTGAAGTGGAATAGATAACTTTCTGAGTTAAAGGTATGCTGAGGAGAGAAATGAAAAAAGTACGTCCAATTAATGTAAGGTAGGTCTGGCAATTTCTGACACGACCCGATAACCTGACATGACACGACATGAAATTAACAGGTGTTTGGGTCGACACGATAACGAATCGGGTCGTTATCGGGTAACCCGATAAGCACCTGTTAAGATAACGGGTTGGTTCGGGTATACACGTGGGTAACACGATACACGATAAGCAGAATATTATTTTTATAATTTTATAATCCTAAAAAAATACTATAATAATTATATACATTAATTTTACAATTTTATACCCCTAAAAATTATAATAAATATATATATATATATATATATTAAATTAACTATAAAATTTATAATAATTATAATAATTATATATACTATAATAATTATACCCCCAAAATATTAAGTCTATCTATAATAATTATATATATATATTAAATTTTATAAAAACTATAATAATTATTAATTAATAATTTAATATGCATGATGCATTGCATGATTTTGCATCCATTGAAATTTGATGTGATTTCTTTCCATTCAAATTTCAATAATCAATTTCTTGCCGTTGCCAACTTGCCGCCCTTTTTGAAAAAAAAAATGGAGGGAAAATGAAAATGTTAAGAAAAGTTGAAAATGAAACAAAAAAGTGAGGGAATTAGGGAAAGATGTTAGAGGGAAAAGTGAAAATGATAAGAAAAAGTTGAAAAGGAAACAAAAAAAGAGAGGGAAAAATGAAAATTAATAGAAGTGGTGAGAAATTTTTTTTTTTTTAAGTTATTAACTTTTTATCACACACATGACTGTCATGACATATCTCACTATTTTTATAATGACACACGTGACACGTGATGTATGTACTATTCCGTGTACCGGTCAATTGTAATTTATACGTACAAAATAAATAGATTTAAATCTACTTAATAAATATATATATATATACACACACACACACACGGAACTTGATTGATGGCATACGAATTCTCCAAAACTAATCTCAACGACCCAAACCGTCAAAATTGTTTGTATATGCTTGGAGATCACATCAGCAAAAAATCACAAAAAAAAAACATTCAGAGATCAAGTAACGGGACAAAGCTTTTCAACGGTTATAAACGAAAAATCACGATTTAACGGTTATTTTAACTCCGATTTTGATGATTTTTTATAACTACACTCCTTGACCCTATGTGAATACAAAGAATGAATTCGATCTTCAATTTAAAATATTTACACAAGTGGATACCACAAAATCTTATGTTATACTTAATGAAAGTATAAATAAACTCTAAGTGTTAGTCAATCTATCGGTTTACGAATTCTCCAAAACTAATTT